CATTGTATGCATAATAGGATGTAATAGAGTTAATTAAAGACCTATCAATTTTATTGTAAACTCGATTTTATGAGATTTTTTGTGGGGAATTAAAATTAAAAAAATGTCATTGTTTGCATTTTAAACACAAGTGAATGATAATATTTAAAGAAAAAAACACAAGAATGTTTTTGAGGTATGTAGTAAACACTCCAGAGAGATTGGCAGAACCCTCATTAAGTGTAGTAATTGAATACGACTTTGAGATCTCTAAAAGTTTTGGGAAAATATTTTTTTCCTGTGCTAATTAGAAGGGTTTTGATTACGGGCCTAAATCTCCGGTAATTATTTATATTAGGTGTTCGATGTTAAGGAACAGAATATTCTACATCAAATTTCACTATAGGTCTCAGAACAAACGGAACTTGTAGCTATAATATTTATCTTCGAAATAGAGGCTCCAATTTGGAATAATTAAAATATAAATGAAATACTGATTTTGTTTAAGGTTAACTAAACAGGGTTCCGTTTTGAGGCGATTACTTCCCTTAATCTTAATTTTAGGGCTTAAATGTCAATGGTGGAAATATTCTATACAAAATTTCGCTATAGGTCACTGAATAAAAGAAATCTGTGTCTATAATATTTGTCCAGAAAATCGGGGGTGTCAATTTGGATAATTGACAAATATATGACTTTTGAGGTTAATTCGAAAAGGTTTTTGATTTGATACGATTACTACGGCTATTCTCCATTTTAGGGTTTCGATGTCAATTGTGGATATATTCTACATAAAATTTTATTATAGGTCTCAGAACAAATAGAATCTATAGCTACAATATTTAACATAAAAATATAGGTTACAATTTACATAATAGGAAAATGACATTAATTTTTTAGGTTATTTTCATAGGTTTCAGTTTTGAGCCGATTTCTCCTATTATACATTGTTTTAGGGTTTAGATGACAATGGAGGAAATATTCTACACAAAATTTGACTATAGGTCTCAGAACAAACGAAATTTGTAGCTATACTATTTATCTTAAAATTAGGGCTTTCAATTTGGAGTAATTAAAAAATAAATTAAAAACAGATTTTTTAAGGTTAACTAAACAAGTTTCCGTTTTGATCTGATTTCACCCATTATATATCATTGTAGGACTTAGATGTCAATGATGGAATTATTCTACACAAAATTTCATTATGGGTCACCGAATAAAATAAATATTTATCTATAATATTTCTCAAGAAAATCGGGGTGTCAATTAAAATAATTGACAAATTTATGATTTTTAGGGTTAATTCCAAAAGGTTTCAGGTTTCAAATGATTTCTCCCATTATCCGTCATTTTAGGACGTAGATCCCAATGGTGGAAATATTCTACATAAAATTCGACAATAGGTCACCGAAGAAACGAAATCTGTAGCTACAATATTTTACCAACAAAATATAGGTTACAATTTTCATAATAAAAAACCAGTAAGGAAAGTAGTAAAGTCGGACGGGGCCGACTATATGATACCCTTCACCACTATGGGTATATTAAACAGGACTATTAAGATGAAATTGGATGAAATAAAATATGTGATATTTATCTAAATGTGAATCTACCTAAATCTATCCATAAAGTATGTAAATCGACTTCAAACAAATATAAATAGGTCATCCGTTGGGCTATGTCTGTACTTCTACAAAACGCAACTACGTAATTCTATGCTCAATTTTGTAAGTTGTGCAAAATTTGATTTCAATCTGACTAACATGAGGAGTTTGATGCCCAATTTACTTGAAATCGGGCGAAAATATATATGGAAGCTCTATCAAAATATTAGGCGATTTCAAACAAACTTGTCACAGGTTAGGTTATACTAATTTCAGAAAGTTTTGTTCCTATCAGCCTATTGGTTCCTTGTGCATCAATTACTTAAAATCAATCTATAATAAAAGGAAGCTCTATCTAAATCTGGACCGATTTTCACGAAACAAGACAGACATCACTCTAGGCTCAATTCAGTACGTTATGCCAAATTTCGTGCAAATCGAAGGATATATAGGGACTTTGGTGCACCATTTACCTAAAATCGGGCGAAACTATATATGGGAGCTATATCTAAATCAGGACAGATTTTCACGAAACTTGGCAGACATCATTCTAGGCTCAATTCAGTACGTTATGCCAAATGTCGTGCAAATCGAAAGATATATAGGGACTTTGGTGCATCATTTACATGAAATCGGACGAAACTATATATGGAAGCTATATCTAAATCTGGACCGATTTTCTCGGAACTTGGAAGACATCACTCTACGCTTAATTCAGAACGATTTCGTGCAAATCGAAAGATATATAGGGACTTTGGGGCACCATTTAAATGAAATCGGACGAAACTATATATGGGAGGTATATCTAAATCTGAACCGATTTTATCAAAACTTTGCAGACATCACTCTAGGCTCAATTCAGTACGTTATGCCAAATTTCGTGCAAATCGAAAGATATATAGGGACTTTGGGGCACCATTTAAATGAAATCGGACGAAACTATATATGGGAGGTATATCTAAATCTGAACCGATTTTATCAAAACTTGGCAGACATCATTCTAGGCTCAATTCAGTACGTTATGCCAAATTTCGTGCAAATCGAAAGATATATAGGGACTTTGGCGCACCATTTACATGAAATCGGACGAAAGTATATATGGGAGCTATATAGAAATCTGGACCGATTTTCTTGAAACTTGGCAGACATCACTCTAGGCTCACTTCAGTACGTTATGCCAAATTTCGTGCAAATCGAAGGATATATAGGGACTTTGGTGCACCATTTACCTAAAATCGGGAGAAACTATATATGGAAGCTATATCTAAATCACGACCGATTTTCACGAAACTTGGCAGACATCATTCTAGGCTCAATTCAGTACGTTATGCCAAATTTCGTGCAAATCGAAAGATATATAGGGACTTTGGGGCACCATTTACATGAAATCGGACGAAACTATATATGGGAGCTATATCTAAATCTGAACCGATTTTCTCGAAACTTGGCAGACATCACTCTAGGCTTAATTCATTACGTTATGCCAAATTTCGTGCAAATCGAAAGATATATAGGGACTTTGGGGCACAATTTACATGAAATCGGACGAAACTATATATGGGAGCTATATCTAAATCTGAACCGATTTTCTCGAAACTTGGCAGACATCACTCTAGGCTTAATTCATTACGTTATGCCAAATTTCGTGCAAATCGAATGATATATAGGGACTTTGGTGCACCATTTACATGAAATCGGACGAAACTATATATGGGAGCTATATCTAAATCTGGACCGATTTTCACGAAACTTGGCAGACATCATTCTAGACCTAAATGATTAGGCTGTACCAAGTTTCGTGAAAATCGGTCAAGATATATAGGGACCGTTTACATTAAATCGGTTAAATATATATATGGGAGCTATATCTAAATCTGAACCGATTTTTCCCAATTTCAATAGGGTTCGTCCTTGGGCCAAATAAGTGACTTGTGCCAAATTTCATCCAATTCGGATCATAAATGCGACCTGTACTTTGTTTACAATTTAACATGGACAGACAGACGGACAGACGGACAGACGGACGGACGGTCGGACATGCATAAATCGACTCAGAAAGTGATTCTATGCATATTCTCAAAAGGAACCATGGGTCTATCTCGATTATTTTTGCCTGTTACAAACATATGCACAAAGACATAATACCCTGTACCACAGTGTGGTGAAGGGTATAAATACATTTATTTTTAGGTTATTTTGATAACATTCAGGTTTGAACCGATTTCTCCCGTTATACATCATTTTAGGGCTTGGATGTCAATGGTAAAACTATTATACATCAAATTTCACTATGGGTCATGGACCAAAAGAAATCTGTGGCTATAATGGTTGTTAAGAAAATATGGGTGTCAATTTGAATAATTGACAAATGTATGATTTTTGAGGTTAATATCAAAAGGTTTTAGGTTTGATACGATTTCTCCCGTTATTCTTCATTTGGGGGGTTTGATATCAATGGGGAAAATATTCTACACAAAATTTCACTATGGGTCGCGGAACAAAGGAATTCTGTAGCTACAATATTTATCCTAAAAAATAGGGGTAAAAATTTGAATAATTATTAAATTAAACTTTTTTGGAGGTTATGTTTTCATTTTGTGCCCATTTCTCCCCTTAATCTTCACTTTTGGGTTTGGATATCAATGTAGGAAATATTCTACATTAAATTCCACTATAGGTCACCGAACAAACGAAATCTGTAGCTATAATATTTATCTTAAAAAAATAGGGGTTCGAACTTACATAATAAAAAAGGAATATTATTTTTAGGTTATTTTGATCATCTTTAGGTTTAGACCGATTTCTTCGATTATCCTCCATTTAAGGGCTTCGATGTCAATGGTGGAAATATTCTACATCAAATTTCACTATAGGTCACCGAACAACCCAAATCTGTATCAATAATATTTAGTGATGAAATAGCGGTATCAAATTTTCTCTTAGAAAAATTATTTGTGTTGCTCACATATTTACAAACATATTTCCAATAATATTACAATTTTTTTTATAATTAAATACAATTCATGTTTATTAATTATTAATTTTTCTTTTCACATATTTTTTATAACAAAATTTCATAATAATTTTTTTCTTCTTCTTTTTAATTTCTTTACAATTGTTTTTTTTTCTTAATGAGATGATTTTCCAAAAATCGAAATAATAAATAAATAAATTACCAACAACAATGTACGTATGTATGTACGAGAGTATTCAAGGCATTTCGAACAACTACAAAAGTCAGCCAGCCTTTGAAGGTGATATAACTTGGTCCACAGAAATCACACACACACAAACACCCACACATGGAGCGCATCACAACAATTAGGGTATCTAGAAATTCCGTTAAGATATTTCAGCTATGAATGGTAGATATTGTGACAATCGCAATTGATTTGAAAACTCCCATTTGTCATTTACTTGCCAAGGGTGGTGTGGTTTTGGTTGCCTGCACCGCCGCCATTAGTGGTGAGGGCGACTCATCTGCCAAATGTGATGCATTTGCTGGTGTCTTTGTGGTGATGGTGCTGCTGCTGTTATTAAGATAATTCAATGGCAAGGATTTAGTTGAGTTAGATGATAACGTTGCGGATGTGGCGGAGGAGCACGATGAGGAGGATGCTGATGATGTGGTAGAGGTGGCGGTTGATTTTAAAATATGGACGGATACAGATGATTGTGTGGCATTTGATTTCTTATCATTAATTGCAGTTGGATGTTGGTTGGCATCCGCCGCTGGTGTTGTTGCAGCTGCTGGTGATGTTGTTGTTGTTGCTGTTGCATTACGTTGTGATAATTTTGGTATTTGAAATTTGGAATTTAAACCTTTCATAAAACCCTCCATATTGGCGGCCATTGTGGGCGAGGCATAATGTAAGATTTTCAACATATCCGCCTGATGATCTAATAGAGAGGCCGGCTGGGAATGTGATGATGAGGTGTAGGGGGTGGGCAATGCCGGTGAGGTGGAAGCACTGTGTGATTTCTTCGATGAAGATGATTTCCTTGAATAATCACCAAATGAATTTGTACTGTGACTTTTAGATAAACCAAAACCGCTTGATGAGGAGGACGATAACCCTGATGATGATTTTGTACTAAGACTCCCGGAGGAATTGGATTTTTGAAAGGTATGTTTTGTCGATGATGATGTGGATAAGGATGATCGTGAAGATGTTGCTCCCGACGAAGATGATGATTTCTTTGAGGCCGGTCCACTGGACACACCAGGTTTTAAACCCGTATGAGCCTTTTTACTGCTGGAACTTGAACTTGAGCCATGTCTGGAAGGCGATGACGTGCGCTGTGAGGATTTCAAAGAGGATTTACTAGAGCTGGAATTACCGGATGATGACGAGGTTGCTGTGCTGCATGTGGAGGAAGAAACCTTGGATATCGATGAACTGGTTTTATTGATGGTCATTTTTAGACCCTCTTGACTTGTCTTAACCATATATTCATTATTGCTATTCGGGTTAGAATTACTATTCGACGACGACGACGACGAAGAACTGTGTTTCATTTTCCCCAGCCTCTCCTCACTGATGCCAGGGTGAGACATTGGCGCTGCCTGTGATCGTGGCTGCTTGTTGTTGCTGATTTTGTCCGACGACCGCTCCAAGTCCACCGGCACCTGCAACGCTGGCGATTTGCATATTGTTGCTGCTGTTGTTGCTGTAGCTGGTGTCGACGTCATCAAACTAACCTGACAAAGGCGAGATCAGAAAGGGGGAGAATACCCAGGGTACATCCAAGAGTAGATAGAAAACAAATTAATTGGTGATGATGGTACAGAGGAAGTGGTGGAAGAAGCAGAGACGCCAAAAAAAGAACAAGAAAACAAATATTTTTGCATTGATAATCAAAAATGTACAAACATATATATTTAAATTAAAACACACAACAAATAAATGTAATCTAATAAGGCATGCAGAATATAAAATTTCAAACAACCAAAAAAACAAAATTCTCTAATTTGAGGTTATGTGCATTTTTTGTTTTTAATTGGCCATCGAACACACATTCGCACTCACAATTATAAAAGAATTAAATGCAATTGGTATTTATTACAGTTATTTATACACTTTCACACACACACACACACGCACATTTTGGCATGCAAAACTATGTTTACAGACAAAAAAATGTGTTTGAGGTTATGTTTGCAATTTAAAGAGATTTAAAAAATTTGTTGTGAATTTTTGTTTTTATAATTTTTTTATAAAAAAATAGTGTTGTTTACATATTCGATACATTTCCAGCATTCCTGACCTTTTACAAATAAGGTCAATTACTAAATTTCAATTTCATAATAAAAAGAAAAAATACTTACCTTGGCCCTTCTTCTTTAAATGCTGGGAGGTGTGGGTTGTTGTTTTTTTTACATTTACAATTTATTTAATACTTACGTAAGGGCTTTAATATTAAAGAGAGCAAATTTACCAGCATGAGAAGTCAAATAAACTAAAAATTTCGACAAAAATTTAATTTGACCTAACCTCAAATTTTTCTAACCTAACCTCAATTAGGAAAACATGCTTAATTACTTGTACATAATAATTATATGTAGGCTATAAAGCAATTTTGATGATCTTATGGAACATAATTAACTAAAATTTCTGCAACTTTTTTAATTTGACCAAACCTCAAATTTTTCTAACCTAACCTCATATATTTTTAACCTAACCTCAAATACAAAAATATCTTTAATTATTTATCAATAATAATTCTATGTGAGCCATTGAGCTAAATTTTCATCTAAAAGAGCGGAATAATCCAACATGTCTGTATTTTTTTTTAATTTGACCTAACCTCAAATTTTTCTAACCTAACCTCAAATAGAAAAATATGCTTATTTATTCATCCATAATAATTCGAATTAGGATATAAAGCAATTTTATGATCTTATGGAACATAATAAACTAAATTTTGTGTCACTTTTTTTAATTTTACTTAAACTCAAATTTGCCTATCCTAACCTCAAATACAAAAATATCCTTAATTATTTATTAATTATAATTCTATTTTTCATCTTAAGGAGCGGTATAATCCAAAATGTCTGTATTTTGTATTGCCATAAAGCAGAGCAAACCTGCAGAGCAAATCTGCGAACTTTTTAAACAGACCTAACCTCAAATTGTTCTAACCTAACCTAAAATAAGAAAATTATTCGTAATTATAAATCCAAAAAATGTTATTTCTAAACTATTGGAAAATCTTTTTGTAAATCAATGTCTAATAAAAAACTGTTAAAATGTCCAAAGTTTTAAAAACCAATTAAAAAATGATCATACTTTGCAAAACATTATTTAAAAAATAATATCCCAGAAAAAAAATATTTAAAAAAATCCCTAAGACTTTGTAAAGCCCTCAAGGAATATTTTTAAAAATCGTATTTTTTATTTTGATTTTAAAAGCCAATGCCTCTGGACCTTGAAAAAATATTTTTAAAAAATTTTAAAGTCACACGCCTCTGGATCTTAAAAAATATTTTAAACATTTTTTCAAGACCCACGCCTCTGAAAGGCCTTTCAAAACATATTTTTAAAAAATCCACGCCTCTGAAAGGTCCTTGAAAAAATATTTTTGAAAATCCACATCTCTGAATGGTCCATAAAAACTCACTTACGTAGCTGGAGATGTTGATTTCTACTTGGTCTTTCCATCTAATTCATGGCCTTCTCCTTCTACGGGAACCATCATCAGTAGGCTCGCTTTTATATGCCTTTTGAGCTCGAACATTCTCATTCATTCGCACAACATAACCTAGCCATCGTAATCGCTGCAGCTCAATACGACTGACTATGTCCGCGTATAAATTGTAAAGCTCGTGGTTCATTCGACGCCGATATTCACCTTCGACGCAGATCAGTCCGTAGATCTTTCGGAGAATTTTTATTTCAAACACCCCAAGAGCTGCCTCATCTGCTTGCGCAAGTACCCATGCTTCAGATCCATATAACAGCACAGGTAGTATCAGCGTCTTGTAAAGGGTGAGTTTGGTCTGGCGGGAGATGGCCTTGTTTCTAAACTGCTTACTTAGACCATAGTAGCATCTGTTGGCCATCACAATCCTTCTCCGAATTTCAAAAGTGATGTCATTCGTTTTATTTATTGCGGTATCAAGGTATAAAAAATCTTTAACTACATCGAAGCTGTAGTTATCAAGTTCCACAGTTGGCAGGAGTCCACTGTACGTCTTGCGCGTTGATACTATCAGCTTGGTCTTCCCGCCGTTTACTGCCAGATCCACTTTGGCAGACTCCTTCTCAATTTGTTCAAAGTTGGCTGTTTCCGCACTCCGTGTTCGACCCATTATGTCGATGTCATCGTAGGCGTAGGCGAGTAAAATGTGTTTTTTGGTGTACAGAGTGTCATTTCTGTTCACCTTTGCGTCTCGTATGACCTTTACCAGCAGGATGTTAAAAAGATCACACGACAAACTGTCACCTTGTCTGAATCCTCGTTCGGTATTAAAGGGCTCCGATAGGCCCTTCCGAGTTTAACTGCTGACATTGTGCCACTTAAAATTATCTTGGATAGCGGTATTATTTTTGCAGGAATGCCGATCGTAGACATGGCTTTAAACACCTCTGAACGGATAGGGCTTTCGCGAATGCGGCTTTATAGTCGACGAATATGTGGTATGATCACACGACAAACTGTCACCTTGTCTGAATCCTCTTTCGGCATCGAAGGGCTTCAATAGGACCTTTTCGACTTAACTGCAGACCTTGTGCCACTTAAAGTTATCCTGAATAGCCGTATTCATTTTGCAAGAATGCCGAACGTAGACATGGCTTTAAACACCTCTGAATGGATAGGGCTGTCGAATGCGGCTTTATAATCGACGAATAAATGGTTTTGGGGTATCTTCTTTACCGCCACTATTTGATACCATAAGCTTTTCAAAATGCTCCTTCCAGATCCTCAACACGCTGTCTGTATCTGCCACCAGGTTTCCCTCTTTATTTCTACAGGAGGATATGCCTGCACCAAAGCCTTCGGTTTGGTGTTTTACCCGTTGGTAGAATTTTCGGACTTCATTCTGACTCTCGATTTGCTCATGCTCACGTTTTTCTTGTTCCTAAAAACAACTTTTAAAAAATCTGCGCCCTGAAAGTTTCCCAAAAACTAATTTTAATTTTTTAGGAACCTTTCAGAAGCCTGGTCCTGAAAGGTTCCAAAAACTATTTTTAAAAAAATCCACGCCTTTTAAAGGTCTTTAAAAACTACTTTTAAAAAAATCCACGCTCTTAAAGTTCCCTAAAAACTACTTTTAAAAAAATCCACGCTCTTAAAGTTCCCTAAAAACTGCTTTTAAAAAATCTATGCCTCTGAAAGTTCCCTCAAAACTGCTTTAAAAAATCTATACCTCTTAAAGGTCTCTAAAAACTACTTTTAAAAATCCACGCCTCTTAAAGGTCTCTAAAAACAACTTTTAAAAAATCCACGCTCTTTAAAAAAATCCAGGCGTCTGAAAAGTCCCTAAAACTGCTTTAAAAAAAACAAGCCTCTGAAAGATCCCTAAATGCTACTTTTACAAAATCCCGCGCCTCGGAAAGGTCACTAAAAACTACTTTTAAAAAATCCGCACCAGTGAAAGGTAAAGTAGTGAAAAACTACTTTAAAAAAATCCACTCCTCGGAAATGTCCATAAAACTACTTTAAAAAAATCCACTCCTCGGAAATGTCCATAAAACTACTTTAAAAAAATTCACTCCTCGGAAATGTCCATAAAACTACTTTAAAGAAAATCCACGCCTCGGAAAGGTCCTTCAAAAAAATATTTTTAAAAAATCCACGCCTCTGAAAGGTTCTTGAAAAAAATGTTTAAAAAAAATCCACGCCTCGAAAAAAAATATTTTTAAAAAAATCCAAGCATTTAAAGGGTCCTTGAAAATTAAAAATTCCAATAACAACAAGCATGCATTAGTATAACTCAGTGTATTACAATGGCCAAATAATGTGGATCATAACTTGAATAAACTACCACAATACGACAAAAGTATCCGGAAAAACTAGCAACTATTTTGGTGGCAGAAAAAATAACAACAATAAAAAAAGGAAACACATCAAAGCTAATGGTGTTAAACAAACTACAAGTAAAAGCTTTTAATAGGAACAAAATATTTTGTTTATATATATTTTTGTCATTTAATTTAATTATTATTAATTATTTTAGTTGTTGTACATAAAAATCAATTTAGGAATCAATTAAGGCTATAGCAAAAGAAAAATGCAAACTAAAAGAACAATAATAAAATATATACCAATACAAAATAAAATTACAAAAATACCAAATACATTCTGGAAGTGTAAATTTGGAAATAAGAGTGGGGTGGGTGGGGTTAGCTATCTAGTAGGAATGCAAGCAAATGCAAATGCAACAAAAAGAGGTAATAGCAACAAAATACCAACAAAAAAAAAGAAGTGTTGTTGTTGTGGTTTTTGTTTTGTCTTGTTAAACTGTAATAAGGTGACTTACCGCAGTGGTAACACCTTTACGCATGGCCGAATTCAAATCTAAACCCGAAACGGAATTCGAACTGCCGGCAGTATTAAATGCTGGTGCTGCGGACTGCGACATTAGATTTAGGCTGGGAACCGATTTCATTTGTTGCTGTTGTTGTTGTAATTGAGCAGAAGAAGAATTGAGACCCATGCTGGATTTAACAGCTGCCGCAGCGGCAGATTTTACAGCGGCCACCAGATTTGTATTACCCGCTACGGATGATATTGAAGATCCACCGGAAGAGGAACAGGACAACGAGGAAGAAGAGGACGAGGAGGAGGAAGAGGACGACGATGAGGAAGCGGAGTTGCCTGCATTTGAATTTGCCACCATTGAACGTACCAAGCCGGCACTGCTAAGTACCGCTGATGTCGAAATCGAAGAAGACCCTGTTGACCCCGATGATGATTTGTCACCTTTGGGACTGGCAGCTGCAGCACTTTTCAAAGTGGACATACTGGGCTTCCCCGACGAACCATGTTTAGGTGAATGGGTACCAAATGGCGACTTGGGGCTATTCGATGCGGTATTGTGTTTGGGACTGCTATAGACCGGTGAATGTTTGGGGCTTGGTCTGGCCGAGAGGGATGACCCCGCCACTGAGGAAGCCAATAAACCTCCAGATGAGCCTTTGGGCGAGGAAGAGGGTGAGGGAAATTTCCTTGACACGGCGCCTGCAGCATCTGCAGAACCGGCAGGTGAATTTTGCCGGGAAAAGATTTTCTCGGGTGGTCCCATGGGTGAGTCATCTCGGCGTTTTTTGCGTTTCTTATCCTTTTGACCATCCAGGGAGGAACCTTCCAGGGAACGTTTACTGCTCGATGATGAGGATGATAATAAAGAGGAGGAGTTGTTGGAGGGGCAGCTTGCGTTAGAATTGGAGTTCATAGACGAGGTAGTAATTGAGGAGCCTGCCGCGTTATACGAAGGTGAATTTGAGGGTTTCTTGTCTTTGTTATGGGCCGGAGATGCCACACCGCCGGCTGTGGGTCCCGCATTAATGGGTGTTATGGTAATTGTCGATGACCCCCCTGAATTTATGGGACTATTGGAAGCATTATTTGCCTGACCACCAGTCAAGGGTATGATTTCTATGCCACCGGTACGTTTAACATCCATGGGGGAGGAGGAGGCAGATGAGGTCATGGCTCCGCCTGTATTGGTATCACCCGCATTTATCGGCGTTATGCTAACCGTATTCTTTAGCCCTGTGGTTTTATCTTTCCATATATTTTTATATTTATCGGCAATTTCATTTTCTGCAATCTGTTGTTCCAATTGGTGTTGTTGTTGCGATTGTGTATGGCCCAAAGAGTTAATATCGAGATTAGATTGCATTAGATTGCTAGCAGCAGCAGCCATGGTATCAGCTGTTAAATTGCTTGTTAGGTTTGTATTTTGACTCTTTGGGCTCTCATGAAAATCCTCCTGCTTAATTTCATTTTTGTACTTTAGATAACCTGCGGCCGCAGCTGCAGCTGGCAGGCCCGTGGCTGTGGACATTTGGTTCATAAGACCTCCTGGCCTTTGTTGTTGTTGCTGTTGGTTAGTGGGTTCCATTTTAATATTAAGCCCCACAGCAGCCGAAGTGGACATACGCTGCATACCGCCACCAACACCACCTCCGCCGCCACCACCTCCTGGGTCATTTGTACCACCTCCGGTTATATTAAAATTTCCATATGCCGAGTGGGCTGCACCACCCATATTTCCCGAGACACCTGTCCCACCACCTGCAACTCCACCTCCACTGGGTCCACCAGCACCAGAAATATTGTTGCCACCACCCATACCATGAGTGGGTGTACCACCCATATTCCGCTGAAACATTTGCATACGTTCTTGATCCCAAAATTTTAGCAGGGCTCGTATTGTTACCGGTATCGATAGGCATTTCTGAGCTATGCTGGTCAATTTCATTGACAACATTTCATAGTTATGACTAATGCTATAAATGCTACATTGTGGCTTGCCAGAACGCAGATCAAATTCCACCGTGGCCATTGATTCTTCATAGGGATGTTGTAGGGCAACGGAAATTTGTTGAAATGATATGGCATTTACCTCCAGCACGGTGGTGGATTCTAAATCTGGAAAAAAGGAAAGAGGAGAAAAGGGGATTAGAAACTTTAAAATCGATTTAAAAATAAACAGAATAAAATTCTAGGTCGATCCGTCCGCTGAAATCTCGATAGAGATCGCAATAATATAAATGATAGAGCTCTGAAATTTTGCACAGACATTGCTAATACTTCCAGGATGTTTGATACTGCAAATGGGATATATCGGTCTACTTTTTGGTATAGACCCCATATAAGGGTACGCCCCAATATTCGGTATTTTGGGGAGATTGTGCAAGTTTATTTAACCAAATCGGCTGAAATTTGGTATTTTGGGTGATCAATGCATAGCGAATCTCCCTACAAAAAAATATTAATATTGGTCCAAATTTCGGGGTAGCTCCCATATAATGGTACCCCCAATCTTCGACATTTTGGGGACGTATTTCAACCGAATTGGCTGAAATTTGGTATTTTGAGTTCTCAATCTATAGTGAATCTCAGCACTAAAAATTATTAATATTGGCCCAAGTTTCAGGGTAGCTCCCATATAACGGTAGCCCCTAATATTCGGTATTTTGAGGTTATTGGGACGTTTTTTTCATCCGAATTGGCTGTAATTTGGTATTTTGGGTTCTCAAGGTATAGCAAATCTACGTACAAAAAATTATTAATATTGGCCAAGTTTCGGGATAGCTCCTATATATGGGTATCCTCTAATATTCGGTTTTTTGAGGTTGTTGGGTACAGTTTTCATCAGAATTGGCTGTAATTTGATATTTTAGATTCTCAGTGTATTGCGAATCTCCCTTCCAAAAATTATTAATATTGGTCCAAGTTTCTGGTACGCTCCCACATAACGATACGATTTGGTTAATGGTTGTCAAATCTCATAAGCAAAAATTCCGCTCTTAAACTTACCCACTGCCACCTTAGCCTGGGGCCGTACACAACTCGCCAACAGGGAATAGAACAGAGCCATTTTTTTTAGAAATTCCAAAATTTTATGGACCTGTGAGGGCTCTGTGAATGGTACCGAGTGTATTAGGGTGGACTGAAAATATATTTAAAAATATAAATTACAAAAAATGCATAATTATTTAAATAATTTTTAAACTCACCTTCATCAGCTTATTCTCCGTAAAATAATAGCAATGCGTCTGATCCGGAAGATGTACGAACAACCCCTTTTGATTTGTCTTCGTCTGCTGTTCGGATGCCGTCTGAATAATTAGACTCATAATATTTGTAATTATCGGTGGTTTATTTTGCGATTCGAGAGCCGATGATGATGACATTGTTGGACTATTTTCATTACCAGCTGCGGGACACAAACCCATACCTCGCAGGGTGTTATAACAAACCGGTAGCGGTTTATTTAAACGTAAAACAAAAGTAGCCGGCAGCAACATTGAATTCATTTGAGTCAAGGGGGCAAATACCGGTACATCCATGCCGGTTTGAGGATCTTTTGAAAATGTCACTGTTGGCAAAATTTGTAATTTATTAGCCGAAGAAGCTTCCAGGTTAACCGTAACACTAAATCCTATCGATTTATTATTAAATGTATCCAGGGTAATGGGTTGCAACGTCTTATTTTCCACCGATATTAAATCATAGGGTGATACGAAATATACCAAACGCATTGGATGACCGCCACGGCGTTGCATTACAATACCCACAGCGGAATCTTGCAGCACTTGAGCGGCATCTTTTGAGAAATTTTGCATCTGGAAAATGTTATACAAATCTGTTTCCATGGCTTGCATGGCATCGTAGGCCTTGATTTTAACTTTCGATTCGGCATTTAGTTGATAAATCGAAGAGAACCCCTCCAGTTGGGCTGTAAAATCTGCAAAGTCACCACGATTTAAACAGTCGACCAATTCACTGCAGGACTGTTGTTCCACTTTGGATTCATGATGGACCTTTACATCTGTCAGCGAACCATTTGAGTCTAATAAAATCTCCAAATAAAACATATCCGTGGAAATGAAGAGGGCCTTTGAGTCATCGGAAAATTTCAAACTCAATTGACGCGAGAGACTTTCTAATCTCTCCACCAAACCTTGTCTCGAGGTGACCTTAATACAATGCTGCATATTGTCTAGACATTTTTGTAGATTTGCCTTTTCCACAGCATCCAAGGGATAACGTTTCTCCAACATTCCCATACGCATGGCCTTGGAGAGCTCCGGAAACGTCTTGTGCTGTGACGAATGGGAACGTATGCGTTCCATAAGTAATTCACGTTGCCATTGTTTATTTTTCTCCGCGGTGGCAGGCAGGTTGGAAAGCAAATTTGTTGTGCCTAAAAAATAAATGTATAAATATGGAAAAAATCTCCATAACCATATCCTGCCAGGCCAGACATACCTCCACCTCCTCCTACTCCAGTTATAGGCTTTATATTTAATGCTGCCATCTTGCTTTTTCACAAATACACAAAATAGCCTCAATATTTAGGCAAATTTCCAGAAGTTTTTGTATTTACAGGCACTGCTGCCTGTAATATTTACGTTTTTCTATTTGTTTGCACAATAAATGTTTAATTTTCTGGCAAAATTTCCATTGTAAAAATTAAATTAATTTATAATCTATATCTGCTGCTTGGCGTTGCTTGTGTAGTGTTGCAATGAACTAGGTTCAAATGAACGATTCTGTGAAATGAATCAATGGGAACTAGTTCCCAATGAAACGAATGAGGAAAGCGGAGAAAATTGGCGAAATATCGTTGTGTTTACGAATGAGTATGAGATATAAAGGCGATAAAGTATCAGCTGTAAACAACAGCTGATTGAATTGTATTCCGTGAAATGAACCGATGGAACTTTCTTTGTCTTCGTTTAGTTATAATTCGATAACACAAGGCAATTTCAAATATTTAATTGAATGACAATAGGCAAATCAGTGATTGTGCTAATCTAGGCATATAAAACAACATATTTGTATATTTACCTTGAGAATTATAAAATCTAGTTGTTTGGTGCATGTTTTCTATCTGCTTCAAACGATATTTACTGGAAATCGGAAGCCCAGTGAGGAAATAAAGGTAGTACACAACATGATATGCTTGGAGTTCGTCTTCGGACGGCTCACAAGAAGGACGTGATCTAAAAAGTTTAAGAAAGCATTATACGCCCTCGGGCTTAAAAATAGATTTTTTACAAAATGGCGGTTGTTAAGCGTTCGCCTAATTAACACGTGTTTTTTCGAATACGGATAACCTATAAAGTCCGAGTCGTTCAATGGAATCCGAACGGTTGAGGATTTCATTATCATTGGAATTATCCTAACGATTTGGTCAATTCACCAAGGAAATCAGTGTTTAAATTAAATGTATTTTGAAGGCTCGTAGACAAAGTCTACATAATCTGTGGTGGCGCTATTAATACTCGATAATCGGGAGGCGGGCCAATAACTTAAATAGGAAAAAAAACATGATATGCAACTCTGTAGTAGTGCCCTATTATAATTATATTCACATGCAAAGAGTGTTAAAGTACATTTACATATACTATTTTAAATCGACTCGATTAACGAAACCCAGAAATATACCCTAATTTTTTACACATGCCTTTAATCATGCCAATCAACTGATGTATACAATATTATTAATTTGAACCAAAAAATTATCGTACATTAGCTGCGTTGCATCTCATTATCATGATTTATAATAAACCCTGCCGCACGGTGATTTAAATTTGTATGATAAATCGTGGTAAATTCAGCCAGATTAGGAAAATAAACACTGATTCAGGCTTTAATCATTTTTAAATGTTATACGTAAATCCGCTTTTAATCGAGTTATCAGTTGCGCTATGTTGACCACATATTTATTGTGCCATGGAAATTATGCACTTTGGAAGTTAATCAAGTCATCAGCTGCGCTAAATGGACTACCTATATATTGTGCCATGATGTATACGCTATGTAAAAGTACATTTACATATACGATTTTAAATCGACTCGATTAACGAAATCCAGAAATACACCTTAATTGTTTACACATACCTTTAATCATGATCTATATGCCGATCAGCTGATGTTTGTTAGTATACATACAAAATCATTAATTTGCGCCAAAAATATTTGTTTACAATTTGAAAAAGAATAGAAGAATTACCACAATGGAAAGGTTTTTGCAATACTCTGATCGTTTGGAAAGTAAAAAAAAACACCTTTAATCATTATTAAATGTTATGGTGTTTTTACACGATATGTATTTTACATATTGCTGTCACTTTTTTGCATATGGAAATCGAACTCGTCATGTGAAACATACGGAAATTTCAATGTGTTAAAACGATATGCAATTACATATGTATTTTTTTTCCGAATAGGACGCGCTCTATTTTCGTATGTGAAACATAAGAAAATCAGCTGTTGGAAGTAAATATTTCAATTGCAAGTCAAAGAAAAAGATGAAAAGGCAACAATTACAAATTATTATTTCGTTTGTAGGTGTTTAATAAAAAAGATGTTGATTTAAGAAAAAATAAAAGTGATTTTTTTTGTTAAAGGTTATGTCATATGTAAAATACATATGCCGATTTGAACACAAAAATAAATGTTTTGTGTACGCCGCTAATTTTGACACACATAAGGAATTACATATGAATGAAATAAGTGACAGCACATATGTAAAATACATATCGTGTAAAAACACCATTATATGTAAATTTGCTTTAATTGACATTTGAGATCGGGTGGATTTCGTAAATCTAAATGTAGTCCTAGCAAAGACATAGAAACCGTAAAGACTCGACAAAATCCATTTTGACAAAATAGTTTATAAAAAAATATCCAGGGGGAATCAGGTACAACAGAGGCATGTTAACAATAAAAACGCCAATACAGTTCGTCCTCGGACGGCTCACAAGAAAGACGTGACCTTAAAAATTTTAAATGAGAATTACACGCCCACGGGCTTAAAAATAGATTTTTACAAAATGGCGGTTGTTAAGCGTTCGCTTAACTAACACGTGTGTTTTCAAATACGGATAACCTATAAAGTACGAGTCGTTCAACAGAATCCAAACAGCTGCGCATAAAATTTTTAATTTTCGTAAATTTAATAACAAAAGAAGATGCTTTTCGCAACTATGTGACTCCTTCGCAGTAGAAGAGTTCACTGATACACAAGGCTTAGAAAGTCTGAACATTGTGCTCAAATTCTTAAAGAAGATCGAAGTCAACCTGCAAAACACAAACCACCATCTATGGATAAAGTCAAATTCGTAGCTTAAGCTACATATGGAGACATGGCTCTGAACATTCTAATACCAAATAGGACGTGAGCCAAGGAGGAGAGGTGTTAATTGGAAAAAAAAACGCCAATACGCGATAATGTGTTTATAAATTGTAAATAAAATCGGAGATCTGCACTCAAAATATATTTTTTTATTTAATAAGCTTTAGATGTAGCATTAAAAACGTTTAATGTTGTTCTCTCTGTTGTTATGATATCGTAACAACAGAGAAAAATCCATCTGTTGGAAATTGTTTACGTATCAATTGTGCTATCTTTATACTTTTATGTCTTTGGTCCTAGTGTAGGTGTTATAGTACGTTTACATCGTACTGGACTTCGTTTCTCGATCGTTTCTCCTCGCATTCCAACTAAGTCAACCAGAAGGTGGAAGCTAGAAATAAAGTTCTGAAAAATGTTGATGGCACATCCTGGGGCAAGGACAAATAAACGTTGGTAACGACATACAAAGCCACGAACTGGACTTCTATCCTCAGTGATACACAATGGAGACCCTTGCAAACTACTCAAAATAATGCACTGCAAATTGCAACCGGGTGAGTCCAGATGACGAGCATCGATCACCTCCATGAGGATATCAGGATATTTTCTATTTTTTCTGTTCAGGAAGTAACTTTAACCAACAGCCAACACAAAATTTTTACTCGAGAAATTTGGCTGAGTAAAAATGGTAAACAGGAATGCCTACTTCTGATCAGATGTTATGTTGATTTTGAAATATTTACTAGATTTGCGTTCCCGAACTTTTATCTGTACTATTAAAAAGTACTGAAACAGACCAATAGTTGGACTGTTCCCGTACTGCAAGAATGTACAATTTTTACTACAATAACGAAATTTTAAAATACTTTTCTCGTTTTACTATGAAGAAATTTCAACTATCCATCCATGACTAACTGTATTTATTTGCTTGTCATGAACATCAGTCAAAAGTCGACTTACATATCCCTATTTTCCACGTGTTGACTCTTGAGCTTTCTTGCCCATAGCGCTTGGATGTTAGGAATTCTTTTATATTAATTATAATTATAAATTGACAAAAATATATAAAAATTAGTAAAATTATGAATTCACAAATATCCAAAAATTTGGGATGCAATCCTATTTCAAAATTTATCAAAAATGTGGATGATTTTTAGCAGTGAAATATGGAAAGAGAAAATGTAAGTTCGCTTCTGATTGATCAAATAATTCTTGATGGTTTATGTGAATTGCGCTGGATCTATATGGAGGAAGTGATAATAATTTCTTCCATATCGTTCCATCATTGTTTCTTATTAACATAACAAAATTTGTACTTCTTAAAGGTTATGTTGAAAACAATGGCTTAAATATGGAACCGCACATAAATTCTAAACTGTCGCTAATATGGCACTGGATGATGTTTGGAAATTCTGCATCAATTTAGCCGGGATTCTTCTATAGAAGCCAAAACCCGTAATAAGTTTACAAATGTGAGAATTATGGTAAGTGTTTATAACATATATAAAGCGATTTTATTTTATTTCCCAAGTTTTTATTTTTCACACATGAAGTTATTGAACACTGGCCATGAAAATATAAAATTCTTACTGAAGGAATTCATACTTCTCAATTTATGGGGCTTTATAGTGATCCATACAACTTGTATGATGCCCTTTGCAGTGTTAGGGGGAGTTTATGAGCAGGACCTAGCCATATTTTAATTGTTCACATTCCCAAGTCTCAACCTCATAATATCGAAAATATTTGACTTTTATGGGGAAAGTCTATAATACTCGAGTTATGGACCTGTATAAAAATCTGTAAAACTTGTAAGATACTATCTTCATGGTCAGAGGGACAACACTTCTTTCTGGTAAAAAATACAGTACCTAAATTTGAAACATCTTTTTTTTAATATGATGACACTTTTCATAACCCAAAACTGAATTCAAAATCTGATGAATTTATTTTACATGCATCACCAACTGAAGATAAATTTTATTTTATACAAAGTGTGTACATATATGATAACCGAAACTAATGTTATTTCCCCTCTTTAAATTGCAGGTTCTATGAGGAGCATTTTTCGCAGATGCCTGTCTAAACTCCTGCTAATTGCAAAAGGTAAATTATTGTTATTTAAAACTATTTTTGTTTTATTTGTACTTGCATAAAAGGATGACAATTTTCATAACCCAAAACTGAATTCAAACGCTGAATGAATTTATTTTACATGCATCACCAACTGAAATTTAAATGTTAATTTATAAAAATATATATTTTTGTACAGTATCTAATGTACTTTTCTTTTTTACTTTTAGCCTCAATGTAGGACAATCTTCCAATGGCATGATAACCAGAAAGATTCTTTCAACACTTCTTAAAAGAAAAGGTAAATTATATTTTTTTAATATTTGCTATTTTAGTAACTATTTAAAATGATGACAATTTTCATAACCCAAAACTGAATTCAACAGCTGATGAATTTATTTTACATGCATCACCAACTGAAGCGAAAATGTTCACTAATCTTTATTACTTTCTTAAAACAAAATCTAATGATATATTTTTTTCTTTTTTAATTTGCAGGTTTTATGTTGGGCTGTCTTCTAACGAAGTATCTCAATTGCAATCGAATTAAAAAGGTAAACTAATTTTTAAATTATTACGTTATTGGTAACCATATAAAAGGATGACAATTTTCATAACCCAAAACTGAATCTACTATTGAGGAATTTGTTTTACATGCATCACCAACTGATTTACAAATTCATACACATTTTTAGTCTACAATGTAATACCGATAAATTAATATTGGTTTTCTTTATTTTCTTGCAGAAATATAAACATATGTTTCGCTATGGTAACCAGGATAATAAATGCCCATAGGTATGTCTTTAATTCCCATCTAAATTATTTTTAACTGTTAATATTTAAGGATGACACATTTCATAACCCAAATCTGAATCAACAACTCTGAAGATTCCTTTTTTACATGCATCACCAACTGATATTAAAATCATGTAGATATTTTCTAATATTTGTATATACAAACTTTTAACCGAATTTCTTTTGTTTAATTTTAGATTTTCTTTAAATTTCTCAACAACAACAATATAGGCCCAATGGACAAAATTTTCCAGAGCCAATATCGTTATGGGATTTTCTTCATGGTACGTCTCTAATTATTATCGAAATTATTATTAAATATTAATATTTAAGGATGACACATTTCATAACCCAAATCTGAATTAAAAATTCTGAAGATTCCTTTTTACATGCATCACCAACTGACTGTAGAATTCTGTAATCCTTTCTAATATTTTTATATAAAAAAATTCTAATAGAATTCTCTATTTACAATTTCAGATGTTGGAAGAAATTATCTTAAAAGGGTCACCCTGGAAATTTTTTTGCCGAGGTAATATTTTAATAAAGATTTTATTTTTTTAATACATATTTAATTTATTTTCCAATTGATGACACAATACATAACCCAAATCTGAATAAAAAATTCTGAAGATTTTTTGTTTTACCATGCATCACCAACTGATTTTAAATCAATGAAGAAATTTTTAATATTTTCTATAGACAAAATTATAATCGAGTTCACTTTATTTAATTTCAGATTAAACTATATTTTTCTACTACTAAGGACAACTTTATCAAAGGAAAATATCGGTTTAAAGCTTGACCACTAGGTATGTCTCTAATCTCAATCGAAATATTTATTAAATATAAATATTTAAGGATGACAAATTTCATAACCCAAATCTGAATCAAAAACTCTGAAGATTCCTTTTTTACATGCATCACCAACTGACTGCAGCATGTTGAAAACATTTCTATTTTTTTTATAAAAATTATAATATAATTCTCTATTTTAAATTTCAGATTTTGGAAGAATTTCTCTTAAAAGGGTCACACTGGACAATTTTTTGCAGAGGTAATATTTTAATTGAAATTTTAGTTTAGTTTATTTTATTTATTTTTTTTTTTTTTTGAATCGCCCTTGATCCTATGGACTAGATTCTCGTATATGAAATAAATTGAAATTGATACTTATTTAATTATTTTCCAATTGATGACACAATACATAACCCAAATCTGAATTAAACATTCTGAAGATTTTTTGTTTTACCATGCATCACCAACTGATTTGAAAATCTTTAAATGTTTATTTTTAATATATTTATTTATGTACAAAATTATAACACAATTATTTTTATTTAATTTCAGATTTCATTCAATTTTCTCCAAAAGATGATAGTCAACAAAAAGATTGTTTGGAAAGGTAATTTATGAAATTCAAAAACAAATTATTTAAATACATATATTTTTTCAATTTCAAATTGATGACACATTACATAACCCAAATCTGAATTAAACATTCTGAAGATTTTTTGTTTTACCATGCATCACCAACTGAATTCAAAATCCTTTAAACGTTTTTTAAATTTTTTTATATACAAAATAATAACACAATTCTTTTTCATTAATTTCAGATTTCATTTGAGTTTCTCCAAAAGATGATAGTCGCCAATAAAAAGATTTTTGAAAAGGTAATATTTTAAATTCAAAAAGAAAAAAATTAAATCGATTTTTTATTACCAATTGATGACACATTTCATAACCCAAATCTGAATCAAAAATTCTGAAGATTTATGTTTTACCATGCATCACCAACTGATATTAATAAAAATATATATTTTTATAAGTTTTGTTCCTCAATTAAAGAAACTCCTTATTAATGAAAGTAAACTTTTTTTTCGATTTCAGATACCTTTGGGAGACTACAAAAATGAATGCTTCTATAAATTCCTGCCAGACTTGGTTTGATGATGCCAGAATGCAATTTTGCACAAGAGGCTACACTTTTGAGAGTTAGAAGCAGAACCTAATTAACTGAAGTAGAAGGGAGCAAAGCAACAACTGAACAAAAATTCAAATATTAAGAATTTCTACATATACCCTTATGGGCCTGAAGGCTCTGAATTACAAGTTAAATAAAATAAAATTGAAATATATTTTTTTTTTGAAATTTACAAACTTCGCTATTGTAATAAAAATATATTTCTTCGACAAATTCAAAATCTTTTATTTAATTCATTGTCGTAACTGTTATATTTAAAAAAAAAATCTGAAAATGTCCTTGAGACCCCATAATTTATATGTAAATCCACGATTTTGCAAGCAATTCCACCAAAACGAAGAAAAATGGAAGGGCATTGTTACATTGTTTTCTGCTGCATTTGTGTAACGCCTAAAAGTATGCTCAATAATTTCGCCAACTAACATGTCAACACAAAACAAACCAATCTGGCAACAACACATCCTGAATTTGTCTGTTTTTGTGGTATTGCAATTTCTTTAATTTTCCCATTTGCCATACCAGGCAAACAGAATCGTGTAGCAGCCATATTTTGACACAGGGTCAACTTCAAATGGCCATAACTCGGTGTGGAATGGAGATATTTGAATGGAATTTTCACTATTGGATTGGGGGAGAAATGTAGTTTTCGTGTGTCACAATAAATTATTAGAAAGAATATTTTTGGCATTTTTTAAAAGATTTAATAAAAATTGAAAAATTGAGAATTTGAGATTTTTTTACTTTTGAAGATATATTTTTTATTTATATATTTTATTATATAGTATATATAACTATATATTTATTTCTTATATTATATATTTTTTACTCACAACTAAAACAAAAATAAAATAATAATTATTAATAATTTAACAGTAAAAATCTCTAAAATCAATAAACTATTTCAAATACACAATTCTCGTGTATTCGATTTTTGTATTTTTTTTTCAATATTTAAAATAACAAATAATTTCCAGCGAAAATCATATACAAATTTGCCACCATAATAAAGACACCAAAAATATTCCATTCCAATATCAGACCATTACCACCATTACGATAAGAATTTGAACCCGTAAAACTGGGTTTAGCACCTCCTCCTCCACCCCCTATTGCTCTGGCCTTTTTGAAACTTTCATAATACCAATCCATGCCATCTTTACGATCAATGCGATCGATGCTACTACCACCGCTAGATGGTGAGGGTTCATCTCTCTTCTGGGCATTGGCGGTTAGCTGGGGTTCTTCAGTGGTCCGGCCATTTAAGGTGGGGGTGGTTCGTTGATATTCCTCGGCTGTGGGTAGATGGGCATGATGATGATGATGATTGAGAGCGGCTTGTGGTGTAAAGACCTTGGTCACTGTGGAGCGGGCTGCCCCACCTGGCCGTGGTAGATAGGGTAGAGGTGGGGCTGTTGTGGAACTTGATGGGATAGCTGAGGGTGTAGTACTCGTTGGCTTGGCTGTTGTGGTTATGGTGGTTAAGTAATCTTCGACCTCTTCGGAGTGTACTGTTTTCTCCGTGGTATGCATCCATGATTGCCTTTTGATTTGTTCCACCAGTTCCTCAGGGGGTGGTATTAGCAATATGGTCTCCGATGTGGTGGTTTGTATGAATGGTGGGGGCTTCATCATGGTTACCGATTGAGCCTCTAGATCATCATAGAATTCCGTGTCCTCAAAGGAGTCTTTGCTCATGGTGGGTATACGAGGTGTGGTGGTGGTGGTCGTCGTGGTAGTAGAGGTGGTAACTGGCGGCTTGGTGGTGCTACTTGTGGTTGTAGGTGTTGTGGTGGCCTGCAGGGTGGTGTGATATTTTTGCAAGGTGGTCCTGGGTCGATACGTTGTGGTGGTCTCCACTTCCGTTGACTCCTCAGATACATAATAGGTGTGAGACTCTACTTCTTGCGAAGCAGCAGCAGGAGGTTTAGGGGTTGTGGAAGTTGTTGTCGAGGTTGTCGTGCTCATTGTTGTGCTTCCATAAAATTCTTCCGAATTAGGATTTTTATACTTCACCTCTGCATTCGTGGTCAATTTATTCAAACGCTTCGTTTTATCCACCTTCAGCGATGTGGGAGCCACAACTTCTATGGTACCCTTCCGTTTCGATGGATCATGTACTGGCATAAAACCACCCACACTATGTTCCGGTACAATAGGTTTAAAACCACCCCTCTCCACACTGGAAGGCACCCTAAAACCCGTCTTAAAAACACTGGAAGGACTTTCCGAACTACTTGATGTTTCATCTGATGATCCTCCCGAAGTATCAGCCACATTTCGCCGACCATTTACATCAACATATTGTGGACTGTCCTCGGTGTCATCTTTATTCTTCAGATATTTTTCAAATTCTGCACTATTCGGTTGATACATTCGGACTTTGCCATGGGACCCGGTAAACATTCGATGAGTGGCAGGCATTTCGGTGCTGGTCGTACTGGTAGAGGTCGCCAAAGATTTGTGACCATTAAATATCGATTCACCACCCTTTTCGCCACGATCTTTCCGCCCTCTTTCATTGGCCCCGAAAAATCGTCCCAAACTTATGCTCGGTATAGGATAACCGAAGAAGGTAAAGGGTGAAGAGGAGTGCGGGGAGAGGGGTTTCTTTTTAAAATAGTTCGTATTCAATATGGTATTATTCAAGTCCACATTCGGACTGACCGATGAGGCCGGGTGGTTAGGTTTAGGCCGATGGCTATGCAGTAGGGTATTACTGCTTGAAATATGGGAACCCAAGGCCGGATTATCCGAAGTTGCCAGATGATGCTGCTTCTGTTTCTGATTTTGTTGATTCTGCGAAACACTGTCATTGGCCCCCGGTGGATAATCCACATATTGATCATAGAAATATTCACTCTCACCCGCCAAAGGCCTTTCAGCCGGTGGCAATTCATAGGCCTCACACTCATCATTGTATTCCTGTAGCTCCCTTTGGAAAATATCTCCATGTTCATTGAGCAGGGGTAAATGATTTAGCACCCCCCCACCTCCAGAGGCATCACTAAAGGGTCCCGCACCACCATTACGTTGTTGATTATCCGCCAAGTTGTTACAGAGATTCTTATCGATTCGTGAGGCTCGCAGTAGACGACCATCTTGGCATTTCGGTCCGGGATATGGGAAATTGGTTTCCTGCAACCACACCGACAGCCATTGCATTTCACAGGTGCATTCAATGGGATTACAGACCAATTGGGCTGTATAGAGACCCGAGGTCTTTATACAGACCATTTGGGCTGTATAGAGACCCGAGGTCTTTATACAGACCATTTGGGCTGCCTTGAGGGGAGACAGGGAAATGGGGTTAGAAAATTAGATTATGAGGTTAGAATAAGACACAAGGTACGTAGGTCTTAATACAGATCAATTGGGTTGTATAGAGACCACATCGGTCTTTATACAGACCAATTGGGCTGTATAGAGACCACATCGGTCTTTATACAGACCAATTGGGCTGTATAGAGACCACATCGGTCTTTATACAGACCAATTGGGCGGTATAGAGGCCAAAGGTGTGGTCCAATTTTCTTAAAAGTTATTTATTGATCCTTACCATCCATATCGATTATGGCAATATTTCCCCTTAAATTCCTAAAGGTCCTCTCCTTAATCGAACGCAATCTATTATTGCGCATTGATAATACCCTCAACCTAGGCATTTGTTCAAATGGGGCACCCTGAAATAGGATATTTATTAAAATTCGAAACATTTCCAAATTTTCCGAACCTTACCTGTATCCGACATATTTCATTATTATCCATTTTCAGTTCGACCAACCAATTCAGCATTTTCAGTGGCATTGTGGGCACTGTCCTCACAGCATTGGTGGATAAATCCAATACCTCAAGATTCCGCATCGATCTTAGGCCAATACTTTCCATGCTGCGAAAATGATTATTCGATAAATTCAAAAATACCATCGATGGGGAATTGAAAAAGCTTTCCGATGAAATAAATCTCAAATTGTTATATTGAAAGTGGGAGGCCAGCAGATTCGGCAAATCCTCAAAGGCATGATCCTTTAATTCCGACAATTTATTATCAGCCAATACAAATTCCTGTAACTCCGGAAGATTCTTAAGGGCTCCCTGTTCCACATGATTTATTTCATTGCTGGATAGATCGAGATATTGTAGCTTAAGGAGGTTACGAAAACTACCCCGTTTTAGTTCGGTAATGAGGTTGTTTGAGAGGCGTATCTCCACAACCTGGCGCCAAGAGGCAATTACCTCCGAATTGATGTGGGTAATTTGATTATAACTTAAATCGATATCCTTGAGACTTATCAAATTCGCCAAGCTAATGGACATATCGCTCAAGGCATTGGAGGATAAATCGAGATATTCCAAAGATTTTTGGGCCTCAAAGGCAGCCGGAGCTATGCTGCGTATGGTATTCCTTGACAAATCCAATTGTTCCAATTTGGAATTATTCGAAAAGAGATTATCGGTAATCGATGATAATTTATTGGCCTGCAGATTGAGATTTCTTAATTCCGCCAGGGGGAGGAGACAACGTTCATCCAGCTGCATTAGTTGGTTCTCCTGCAGGTGTAACAATTCCAGGCGATAGGATCCTATGAACACGGTGTCATCTAGGGAACGCAGACGATTATAGGCCAAACTTAGAACCCTTAATTGTGGCAGCCCCTGGAAGGCATATTTCGGCAAATGTTCCAAACGATTCATGCTCAAGTCCAGCATTCTCAAATTCGGTAAATTCAAACTTTTCACAACCGAGGCTGGTAGGCTGCCGATCATGTTACCCCTAACCGAAATGCGTTCCACAATTTTCGGTAGCCCTGGTATCATTTCATTCAGCTGATTATAACTTGCGTCGACCTCGAAAAGCCTATCCAAATTTCGAAAGGTAGCCGGGTGCAGAATTTTCAAATCATTTATGGAAATATTCAAAGTCTCCAACATCGAGTTATGAACAAAGGTGCTGGGATCCATTTTCATCAGCCCGTTTTCACTTAGATCCAAACGTCGCAGGGATGGCAAACCGGCCAAGAGGTATGAATCCACAATCCTGAAATTATTCAACGACAAATCGAGGCCCTTCAAGCCGGGTAAATTCCAAAAAGGCATAGGTAGATCATGACTCAGGCTGTTGTTTCTCAAACGCAGCTCCCTCAAGGCTGGCATGGCCATCAAGGCCTCCCTTTCAATTGTTCTCAGCAGATTATTATTAATATGCAACTGTTCCAGGGTGCCATGACCCCTCAATGCTCCATAATGGATATCCCTCAAAAAATTATTGCTTATATCCAAAAACTTCAGGGCAGGCAGGGCCTCCAGCAGCGATCTCAACTCCCCCGTATCATCAATTTCATTATTATAAATATACATCGTTTCCACTCCCGATCCGGAGGCCTGCATAAATGACTCAGGATGTATGCACTTAATGTGATTATTATGCAAATAAATCGTTTTCAACATCGGTGTCCTCAAGAAGGCTCCATATTCAATTTGCGTTATCCGATTATCATTCAAATGTAACTCCGTCAAATGTGGCAGATCCACAAAGGATCCATCCTCTATAATTCCAATGATATTATGATCCAACCGCAACTTCTTTAAATTCTCCAAATCCTTAACAATCCTTCCAATCATACCCACATCGCTGATTTGATTATAGGACAATTTCAGACTTGTCAAATTCGGCAATCGTGCGAAGGCTCTCAAATGTATCCAATTAATACCATTACGACTTAGGTCCACATTTTTCAGCGATATCAAACCATCAAACAACCCCGCTTCCAAACGATTCAAGTTCTCTCCCCCTGTAATATGGATATTCTGCAACTTCGGCAAATGCCTGAACCACAAAGGTTGCAATTCGCTTAGCGATCGACTCTGCACACTCAAATATGTTAGGCTAAGTAATCCCGAAAAATCTGGCAAATGTTTCAATTCATCACTTTGTATGGTAATCGCTACCATATTTATCATGCCATTAAGGCTTTCGACAGGTATACTTCGCAGTTGCGGCTCGACTATGTAAATTTCGACCAGGCTATTTTCCAATTCATTTAGCCAGCCGTTGGAGACCCTTTCGATGCCATTGTAGCGTAGCATAAGGCGTACAATTTGCAGGGTACCAAAGAAGCGACCGGGCAAGGCGGGTAGTTGGTTATTCTCCAGCACCAATTCATCAATGGAACCTTTGATGTTGCGCTCCACCGCCTTCAGGCCATCCATTATTTGCGGTAAATTGCTGTGAGAGCACCTGGAAGTAGGGAGGGAAAGAATGAGAAAAGAAATATGAAATAAAAGCGAAAACAAAAATTTTTAATTTTATTCAATTTTTAGGGTAGCCTCTATAGATCTGTACCCGTATTTTTCGATATTTTGGGGAGCTTGGGCTTGTTTTACAACCGAATTGGTTGTAATTTGGCATTTTGGGTTCTCATAGGGTAGTAAATCTCCCTACCAAAAATTATCAAAATTGGTCACCTATTTAGGGTACCTACCATATAATGGCACCCCTTAATAATCGATATTTTGGGGAGAATTGGCGCATTTTTAAACCAAATTAAATGCAATTTTGCATTCTGGGTTCTCCTGGGGTAGCAAATTTTCCTACCAAAAATGATTAATATTGATTAACTTTTTTGGATAGTTCCCATACAATCACACCCCTCCAAAATCAATATTTTGGGGAGCTTGGGTTTGTTTTCCAACCAAATTGACTGTAATTTGGCATTTTGGTTTCTCATGGTGTAGTAGATCTCCCAACTAAAAATTATCAAAATTGGTAACCTATTTAGGGTAGCTCCCATATAATGGTACCCCTCAATATTCGATATTTTAGGGAGATTCAGCGTATTTCTATACCGAATTGGCTGTAAGTTGGTATTTTGGGTTCTCATTGGGTAGTAAATCTCCCTACTAAAATTGATCAAAATTGGTCCACTTTTTAGGGTAGCTCCCATGTAATGGTTCCCCTACAAAATTGATATTTCAGGGAGCTTGGGCTTGTTTTCTAGCCGAATTGGCTGTAATTTGGTATTTTAGGTTGCCATTGGGTAGAAAATTTTCCTACTAAAAATTGACAATATTGGGCTAAGTTCCGGTGTAGCCCCATAAAACGGCATCCCTGCTTTTCGATTTTTTGTGAAAGTTTTTTAACCGATTTTCTGTAATTTAATATTTTGGGTTCTCATTGTTACTACCCACTACTAAAAATTATTAATTTTGGTTCACTTTTCAGGGTAGCCCCCATATAAAGGTATCTTCCGAATTTCGGTATTTTGGGGAGCTTGAGCACATTTTACAACCAAATTTGCTGTAATTTGGGTTCTCATTGGGTAGTAAATATCCCTGCAAAAAATCATAAAAAATTGGTTCACGTTTTGGGGTAGCTCCCATATAAAGATAGCTTCCGAATTTCGGTATTTTAGGGAGCTTGAGCACATTTTACAACCAAATTAGCTGCAATTTCACATTTTGGGTTCTCATTGGGTGACAAATCTTCCTACGAAAAATTATAAACATTGTCTTACTTTTTAGGGTAGCCCCCATATAACGGCACCCCCAAAAATTCGGTATTTCGGGGATTTTGGACACATTTTTGAAACGAGTTGGCTGTAATTTTATATTTCTGATTCGCATTGAGTATCAAATCCCCCTACTAAAAATTATCAATATTGGTATCCTTTATTCGATAGCTCCCTTATAACGATACCCCCCTTATTCGGTATTTTGGGCACGATTTTTACCCGAATTATCTCTTTTACAGCATTATTAGATTTTTAGAGCAATTTACCGTTGCATAGGAGTCCCATATGAAAAATCCCGATCGATTTTAGGTACTTTAAATATCCACCTCATGTTGGAGGATATAAAAATTTCGTCCCATCCTGCCCCAATGCCCTTTTTAATGTTATGTCTTCTTTATTATTTTCCTCCATTTTGTTTTTTTTTTCAACTTACCATATTTGTATTTCTTTGCCCCTCAGCGAACAGCGACATGGCAGAATTGCTTCAGATGGCGGGCAACCTTCGGCCCTGACGCTTATGATGAAATAACACAACAGCCAACAATATAACAACAAACACTGATACCATTCCGGCCATGGACCATTTGTCCGATGCAGCTTGCAGAGCCTTTTCTTCATGGTAAGCAAATTTCGGCAAATCGGCGGGCGGTGAATTAGAAATTTAAATGGACATTTTGTTTTATACACGGGGAGTCCAAGGAATTCGGGAACATTTTCCAAAAAATAGCTGAAAAGAAAAACAAAATCGAAAAATTATTAAATTAGAAAAAATTATAAAAAAAATAAATTTTGAATTTTCATTGGAAACGGAAAAACCATGTCATTGAACAGCCAAGCCATGCCAGCCACGCCACCTCATCATCACAACAAATCATTGCATTGCTCTTGGAATGCTTCATAAATTTGTTGTGGATGTTGACGCCAAAGATGATGTTGTAACACACACGTTGAAGCTTAGCTTGGCTTTGTTGTGTGCCAAGGAAGCCTTTATTGTTGTTGGTTTTTTCCAAAAAAATAATGGCCGTTCATGTTGTTGAAAAATGGAAAATGTAATGATGAAATCTTGTGGCCCACATACTACTACCACTGCTGTGGTAGTTGTTGTTGGTGGTAATGATGCCTGCAATTTGTTTCGTTTGTTTTTGGCATAGCTCACTTTTTTTTAGACAAGCTCGGTATATGCCGCCACATTACAACACTTGTTTACACTTCAGCAGCAGCAAAACAAAGAAACATGGGTTTGTTTTGAACATATGTTATTTTTGAGGATTGACTGTGGTTAGGTTAGGTTGAAGGGGAAGATCTATTTTTTAACACTAAGTAGAGTTTTTTTTTGGACTGAGATCCTCTTTAGGACACATAAGACCTATATATCTTCTATTGGTCTATTCCGAAATCTACAAAAATCTGCTATTAATTTCTTCGATGGTACCTTTATAAGTGCGAAAAGATTTTCCAGTTGTTTTGTTTACGAGATTTAGAAATAATATTTAAAGGTATTTCTTCTAACACAACCCTATATCTTCTATATTAAATTATGGACCCATATGTATTCAACATGGCGTGTCATCCTTTGAAATATTTAATCACAATCTTCAGTGTCTGCCAAACGAATTACCTCTTCTAATAAAACGGTAATTTGCAGGCCGTTATTATTTCAACTAACATTCAGGGCCATATTACATTATAAATGAAGAAATAATTGCCTATTGTGATGAAACAGTAATTTATTGGCCGTTATTATTTAAACAAGAAGCCAAGGCGATATTACACTATAACTGGGGAAATGCAATACCAACTAATAACACTGTGTCAAAAGAATTGCCAATTGTCATGAAACGGTAAATTGTAGGCCGTTATTATTTCAAGTAACATCCAGGGCGAAATTACACTATAACTGAAGAAATTCTGAGCCAACTAAAACTGTGTCTGTCAAAAGAATTGCCAATTGTGACGAAACGGTAAATTTTAGGCCGTTATCATTTAAACTAAAAGCCAAGTCGATATTCCACTATAACTGAAAAGATGCTGTGCCAACTAAAGCTGGACTTAGACGAGACAATAAATACATATGTGGTGCTGCATATGAAGGTATTAAAAATGTGGCACGCTATCATAAAAAATTAGCTGAAATTGATGGAGTAAACTCATTTATGGTCTGTTCACGATCCTGCAAAAGTCTTTAATATTTAAAAGTTTGAACATTATTTTAAAATGCGGGAATATACCAACTATTATCTAGGATATATATTTTATCTAGGATATATATATTTTATCTATAAACCCAAGTTGCCAAAAATATCGAAATTCGGAAGTAGCCCTTATATGGGGGCTTCCCTAAAAAAGTGACTAACATCTATATATATTTTCGTGCAAGGAGTTGCTACCCAATGCAAACCCAAAATACCAAATTACAGCCAAGTCAGGTTAAAAAATAAACCATAGGTCCCTAAAACATCAAAATTCGGAGGTTAACCTTATATGGGAGCTTCCCTCAAAAAGGGACTAATATTTATAATTTTTCGTGGGACGAGTTGTTACCCAATGAGAACCCAAAATGTCAAGTTACAACCAGTTCGGTTATAAAATAAGCCCAAGCTCCCTAAAATACCGATGTTAGATAGGTACCCTCATATGGGAGCTACCCTAAAAAATAGACCAATGTTAGTCATTTTTGGCAGGAAGATTTGCTACCAAATGAGAGCCCAAAATACCAAATTACAGCCAATTCGGTTAAAAAATAAACCCATGCTCAAATATATATATAAAACTTCGGAAAGTCCTGAAATTTGGAAGTACCCTTATATGCTAACCTAAAAAGTGTAACAATGTTTATAACTTTTTTTGCAGGAAGATTTACTAAACAATGAGAAATCAAAATATCAAATTACAGCCAATTCGGTTATAAAATAAGCCCAGGTTCCCCAAAATACCGAAATTCGGAAAGTACCGTTATATGAACTATAACAAAGACTATACCAAAAATTGTATTAATATTTATACATTTTAGTGGGAAGATTTGCTACCCAATAAGAACCCAAAATGCCAAATTACAGCCAATTCGGTTAAAAAATAAACACAAGCTCCCCAAAATAACGAAATTCGGAAAGTACACTTATATGAGAGCTACCTTAAAACGTGAACCATTATTGATAATTTTTGGCAGGATGATTAGCTACCCAATGACAACCCAAAATACCAAATTTCAAGCAAACTCCCCAAAATGCCGAGATTTTTTGGGAGACCACTGTGGCGCCCAACCTCCAACTAAGAGTCTGCTTAAATTCTTATAGTTGTCTAAAGTGTCTCCCTTTTAAGCCTTACCTAAATTTTATAAGGTTCCCTAAATATTAAATGTAAAATATTTTCCTTTGATATCACTGTGGTGCCCAACCACAAACTAGGCATTTTCATATATTTTTTTTTTTTTTTAATTTTCCTGAAGTATGTCCCTTTTAAGCGTTTACTAAATTTCATCGTTTAATAAATATTAAATGTAAAGAAGCTTCCTTTGATACCACTGTGGCGCCCAACCTAAAATTAAGCGTCTGCTTAAATTCTTATAGTTATCTAAAGAGTCTAATTTTTAAACGTTTCCCAAATTTGATAAGGTTCTCTAAATATTAAAGATAAAAAATCTCCCTTTGATACCACTGCGGCGCCTAAAATAAGGGAGATATTTTAAGCCTTGCCCAAATTTTATAGTATCCTAAATATTAAATAAAAAAGGACTCCTTTTTTATACCACTGTGGCGCCCAACATCAAACTAAGAGTTTAAAAAGTTCTAATTGTTTCCCAAAGTGTCTCCCTTTTAAGCCTTCCCTAAATTTTATAAGGTTCCATAAATATTAAAGATAAAAATCTCTTCTCAAAATTCTTATATTTTCTTAAAGTGTCTACCCTTTTTAAACGTTCCCAATATCTTACAGTTTGCTAGACATTAAAGTAACAAATCTCCCTTTGATATCTCTGTGGCGCCCAACCTCAAACTAGGCATTTCATAAATTCTTATAGCTTAATAAATGTTTCACTTTTAAGTGTTCCCAAAAATTTATAGTTTCCTAAATATTAAATGTAACAAATCTCCTTTTGATACCACTATGGCGCCCAACATCAAAGTAAGCGTTTCATAAATTCTTATAATTTTTCTAAAATGTCTAATTTTTTAAGCCTTCCCTAAATTTTATAGTTTCCTAAATATAAAATTAAAAAAAGAACTCCATTTTATACTACAGTGGCGCCCAACCTTTAACGAAGCATTTCATAACTTCTTATAGTTTCCTAAAGTTTCTCCCTTTTAAGTCTCCCCTAAATTTTATAGTTCCTGAATATTAAATTAAAAAAAAAAAACTCCCTTCGATACCACTGTGGCGCCCAACCTCCATCTAAGCGTTTTTTTTCTTAAATTGTTATATTTTCCTAAACAAGTTTGCTTTTGCCATTTTTTTTTTTTTTGTTAAAACAATTTTGCAATCGATGATAATTTTTGCTGCTGGTTGGTTTTCATATAAATATGATGTTATTTGTATGGGTTTCCCTCCCCATCCCCTCAACCATCTTAATTTGTGTTTACAACGGTTATGCGCATGTGTGGCACACACAGTTACAACAACACCCTCTGAATGCTATTTCATTATATCTACAAACTCCTACCACTACGCGCCACAATTATCAGCCATCATCGTCATCATCCAAGACGACGACTTCGCCGCTGACGAAGACAACGACGACGATCAAGTTCCGTTCTTTGTGCCGAATATAAAGTCAAATAACGATTTTGAAATTTTTGTTTAGCGCACGATTGCATCAAACGAACCTTGAAATGATTGTCATGTTAGATGTTTTATATGTCCGTTGGCTGCTGTTGTTGCTCCCCCTCCTGCAGTTCCTCTACTGTATATTAAATTTCTATTTGAAGGGTAATTTTATTATTATTAGTATTATATATTTTTTTTTTGAGAAAAAAAAATTGAAACAATGTTTCTAATTGGGGAAACACATATAGGAATTCCAGGCATGCTTCTTTTTTCAGTTGTTTGCTAAGTTGACTTTGTTAAATGTAAACAAATATGTAAGAACGGCCATAAAACTCAAATACAACTCTGAAATTCCTTTTGACATAATTTGACATTTGATAATAAACAATTTAAGGGAGCTTATCTAAAATCTTTTTATGTGTCTAACCCCCCATTAACATAATGTGAGGTTATGTACACATACATATTTTTGAATTCAGGAAAATTTTCAAATAAAATATATTTTTGTAAACTTTTTAAATAAAATAACCTCCGAGAATTTAAATCGTCGTTTAAGTCAGCATTTCTTTTATAAAACATGGTCGGTGTAAATGCGGCCTAACCTTCAAAAGCCACCGAAAAAATTAAAAAAAACCTCTAATAAATTTCACTTTCCATCTAAATTTAATTTGAATTTTCAAAGCCCAACACACACACACACACAACTTTCTTTATAATTTCATTTGGAAACCCCCCAAAATGACTTCAAATTAGCATTGTAAACGTATACAACAACAAAGATTATCTTGCTCCAATTTGCCGAAATAAAAAGAAAACACAACTGTGATCAAAATGAAGCCAATACAAGCTTGTCAACCAAGCGCTTTAAATACAAAAAAACAACCACAACGACGAATTGTCATTTTATGAAGCGTATAAGAGCTCTTTTTATTAGGAAAATTGCGTTATTATCTTGGTAAAGAGCTCTCCAAGTGGAGACAAATTTGGTTTAACCAAGTAATGATGAAGGAGAAATAGAAAAACAGAATATTCCAGGTTATAGTATGTTTACATTGTACTAGATTTTGATAAGCCATATATGTCAAATAAACCCCCATTAAATAGGTTAACACAGTAAAAAGTTCTAATGTATATGCCCCGTTTAAATTCCGATTTGTCCAGCTTCTGTACATGCGGATCCGATTAAGAATTTCTTGACTTTCCTAATTTCCCTCGTTACCAGAATAAATGCTACACTGCTCTCATTAAGAACTGTTTTAAAAATTATTTAGGATTAAGAAAGTTGTCTAGCAGTTGGGCGCCATACTTGCTCTTAATTATATATTAAAGTTATCATTAAATTTCATCGCAAAATATATAGAAATTTCTTGGCGAAAATGTTTTCGTTTTGAAATTCTAAATAAAAATTTGATTTTTTTGCATGTCGAGAAAGGGGGAAGTCGTGGAGGTTGGGCTATCTAAACATCACTTATAAAATTAAAAAATCAATAGTACAAAACTACGACATATTACTTATATTAAATTGCTAGTTGGGCGCCATATTTGCTCTCTAGTTATAAACTTGGCATTTTTCTTATATTAAACTGATAGTTGGGCGCCATATATGCACTCAATTGAACATTAACGTAAATGTGGGAATTTTATTTTAAGAAAGTTTTCTACCAGTTGGGCGCCAAATTTGATTCCAATTAAATTTGAACGTAATCAATTTATGTCATAACTAAATCAAAAGAAATTACTCGTGTTTCAATTGAAATGCTGAATAAAAGGGCGATTTATTTAAACCGAGAAAGTGTGAGTAGTGGAGGTTTGGTTCTCTAAACATCCATCACCTACACACATTGTCTAATATTTAGGTTAAATTGTGAAGTAACAAATCGCTAGTCAAAAAATTGCCTTATTATATTAAACTGCTAGTTGGGCGCCATATTTGCTCTCAATTGAAGATCAACGTAATTGCATGACAACGTCAATGATAACGGTAAAAAAATATGATTAGTTAGGTTTTAAGAAAGTTGTCTACCATTTGGGCGCCATAGTTCCTCTCAATTAAATATTAACGTAATCACTTCATTTCATCACAAAATTCTCAGTGGGAAAGTTTTGCAGTTGAAATGCAAAATAAAAATTTGATTTTTTGGAAGCCGTGAAATGGGAGGGCGTCGATTCTCGAAACTTCAAATAAACAGATTTTCAAATAGTTAGGTTGACTTATGAATTAAAAAATCGCTAGTCAAAAACTCGTTATTATTACTCAAACTACTAGTTGGGCGCCAAATTTGCTCTCAATTAAACTTTAACGTAATCGAGTGGCATCTTCAATAATAAAACGGCAAAAATTGGGTAAAGAATCGGTAAAATTTTATGAATTAGGTTTTAAGGCTGCTGTCTACCAGTTGGGCGCTATATTTGCTCTCAATTAAATAACCACTTCATTTCATCACAATTAAAATAAAATAAAAATATTTTCAGTTCAGTTCTAATGCTAATGTGATTCTATGCTTATTCTCTAAAGGAAACATATGCACAATGACATAATAATACCCTGTACCACAGTGTGGTGAAGGGTATAAACATGAACATCGTGAAATTTTGCATGGAGAAGGGGATCGGACCAAAGAATTAGCATGCCTGTTTTGATAAAGATTGGTCAATATTTAGCGGGTCAAATGGACCCTGACTTTTGTGTGAAAAATGACAAAATTTGTATTCTATAGCGTATATATTTACCACTGAAGGACATAGACTCGAGAAGTTGATATTATATCCAAGAGGAGTGGTTGACCTTTAAGGGAACCCCACCCATTCTCGATTTTAATTTTTCAAGATTTTCAATGGGCTGGTAAATCAATACCAATGCTTGTTAAGGTTTGTAACTTTACACATATATTATTGAAGATTTAAAATAGAAGAAAAATAATTTACAAAAAAAATTTGTTATTGTTTTGTTGTTGTTTTTTGTAATTAAAGAAAAGTCCTTATTTTCGATGGCGGGCATGATAACTCCTCACTGGAACATCGGAATCCGAAAATTCCAACGGTGTTAGAAAGAGTACATATCTGGCTCTCGTATGAACTAGGATTATTGACTTCGCTCTAAAATTAACAAAATTGTGGACCTTTGAAAAAATATTTTTGGAAAATCGCCGATTTTTTACCAAAGCCCAAGTCAAAAAATAAGGAAGATCTTCACCGATTGGCTTTATCCTAGTTCATACGATAGCTATACACTCACAGAGAAACGTGTAAAATTTTGAAATCGATTGGGTTATTAGTTTTTGAGTTATCGTGCCCGCCATTCGCAAAAAAATGTTTAGAGAAAAAACGCGTTTAAAGTTTGAGAAGCCCTTCAGCCGTCACTTGATGCTGACACAATAAATCGGCTATATCTTCAAGGGTTCGTGAGATTTTCATTTGAAATTTTGTAGGGACATTCTTTAATTAGTGTAGATTCGAATTATATCAACAAATTTTTTGACTCCGAGAATGGGGGGGGGGGGGGTCCCCTTAAATTAATACCAATTATATTGTTGTATGTGGGAGATACACCTTAATATTTACACGTATCTCCGTATCCGTATATTATTTAGTAACCTATTATCACTCTAGAGCGCGGAACTATAGCGCTGATCGCTTTGAAATGTTCCATAAGGTTCCAGTTATGGTCAAGGACAACGCCTATAATTTTCGGTGATGATCACATAATAATTTTGGAATGAGGTGGACCGAAAACTTAATTTTTTGTGTTATTTTCGAGTCGATATATAGACCACAAATGAGAGCCGAACATCGCAACACAACCCACGGTGAAGGGAATCTGGACAATAGCTGTACTGAATACTCGTAATATTCGGAAAATATGTCAGTGTGAGGAAGAGGTACTGTTTACCTCTAATCGGGCAAGAGGATGCCAATATCACGAAATATTGCCCAGGCTCGGAATAAACATCCGCAGAAAATTTGAGTTCCGTGGTAGTTGTGTAGGGTATCGTATGGTCGGCCCCGTCCGACTTCGAAGTTCCAATTATTTCGATTTTAGGTTTTTTATTGGGATATATCAATATCAAAATCTGTTAAGTTTTGAACTTACTTTTTATTATGTATTTATTATCCTTTTTATTTCAGTTCAAAATTTCACTAAATTTTTAGAGAATTATTTTATTTTTTTTGTTATTTATTTGGTATTTTGCTTATATATAATTTTTTGTCTATATATTTTTTTATGATTTATTTAATTTTTGATTATATAATAGGATATTATGAAAAAGTATTTGTTTTTATATTTATCAGTATTTTATTATCATTTTATTTTGTCAGTGCACTATTTTATTATTAATTTCTTTCCTTTGTTAATAATTGTTTATTATGAAAAAAAAAAATTATAATACTTTTATTGCAAATTGATTTACTGTTATAAAATTTGCATTTAAAACTCTCAATAATATTTTTTATGTTTTTATTCACATTTCACTTCATTTATTTTATTATATTATTTTTTTACTTCAGTTTTATTAAAAAGTAAAATAGCACCACATTTTATTACAACACTTCATGAAATTTTTTTGCATTGCATGTTTCTCTTTCATTTTTTTATGCACCCAGGTCTAATAAAAAAGTTAAACTCTATATATGGACTAATAGGCCATTTCATAAATATTGCATAAATTTTATGCCTTAATTAATTTTGCAAAATTTTGCACCACATTCACTTTCATTCATAAAAATCCGCTTCATTGTTATTTCAAATAAAATCAAAATATTTAAATTCCACTTTAAAAATTCCAAAGGTATATCCTTTATATATGCTTATAATCCTTGAAGTAATCCTTTCTTTAATCCAGCAATGTTAGTATCCGTTATAGGCAACCGACTCGTATGATATCCGCGTAAAGACTGTAACGAGTCTTGTAAAATTTTTAACAATTATTACTCAAGAAAATAAAAAGGCAACAAACACCTAACTCTCCACCCCCACCAAACACCTTCCACATATGTAACTCAAAGGTAGTTTTTGTTGAGATCGCTTCCATCTCGAAGTTATTTTCAAAGTTCCGCATGGTTAAATTTGACTCAAAACTACTATTAACTTTAAAAGTGTTGCACGAGCTATACGAGGCAAGAAGAAAACCCAAACACCTAACGTTGAAGCCTCACTAAATGAGAGTTCTCTTCACTGGGGTTTTAATTTTCCAATCTTCCATAGTGGAAACTCACCTCAGTGCATTTTCACCACTATACATGCCCCATTCTTTTGTTAAAGTTTCTTCCGTTCTGGCTGAATTTTCTTCAGCAACTTCGTTTGGCATGTGCCATCTAAAAAATAAGAGATAAAATTTCACGAAGTGTGACGATGACGACCCAGAAGCCATGAAGTCGTCAGTTTTAATTTTTCTGCTTTTGTTTTTTTTTTTTAATTTGGGTATTCATTTAAGGTATTGAAATCCACTCCCTAGTATTTAGTGTTTTGAAGGGAAGTTGTGGTAATTTTTCTTCTTCTTTAGATTTGGCTCAAGCCGAGCGTTGCAATGAAATTGTAAGTAAGGCTTTTTTAGTTTCGCCTTCATCGGCGATTAAGAAGTACTTAACATTAACCTTTAGTTGGGAGATGGAGAGGTTATATATTTCGACATACTATAATGATCAATTAAGTATACTTTAGTTGTTAATTATAATTTATTTAAAATTTTTAAAATAGTGTTTACATTGTCACCTTACAAAATTTCTTTGAAAATTCGTTTTATGCACAGGGTCGATCTTCAATGACATTACAGCAAATGATCACCATGTAGAGGTAAGTTGACTTCTTCATTTAAAGGTAGTGGATTACGCAGTCAACTCTGAAAATGTTGTCCCAAGAACTTCAATGCAGTTCTCTTATTTCAACTTCAATTCGATTCCGGAAATTTATTGATCGCTTATTCATTTAATCTGCTGCTGAAAGCTTTAATATTCCTAGAACGAATTAATTTCTGCAACTGTTCCTGAAGATCCAGAAAATCTTCGATTTTTTTTTGAATGAACTCATTTTTGTCTAGTTTCTTTATAATAATTCTGACTAAAATGGGATCTGCATGGTCATTGCTTTAGATGCATGACTACTCTTATGACTTCGTTTAATTATATATATATATATATCTCTCTCTCTCTCTCTCTTGATGATTGAGACGAATATTTTCTACAACCCACAATGTAATTACCAACAAATTTGGAAAAAAAAGCCTGAATTGCCTCTTCTCAGCCATTTCAGATCTCCCATGCTGCTTGAATTTTTCTAGAAGGAATTCTTTTCTTTCGTTTTTTCTGAGAGTCCAAAAAATCTGCGACTTTTTGAAAGAGGCCATCATTCTATAGTTGATTTATAATAATTCAGGCTAAAATTGGATTTGTATAGCCTAGCGGTACCTATATTGCTTTCAGTGTATGAATATTCTCATTCACTGAGAATATTCTTATCCAATAGTTTTGAAAACACATATTTCCTTATAATAATTCTGACTAAAATTGAATCTGCACGGTCTGAACGAATCTACATTGCTTTTAATACATGAATTTTCTTATTCGCCCTGGCCAGTAGCACCCTTAAACTTGTTGTCGATTGACTATTAAGATATTCGTGTGATCCAAAATCGTATCTACAAGTTTCGCAAAATTGTTTCCATGTAATAATTCTGGCTATAATTGGAACTACATACACTAATTTACGCTGGCCAGTAGCTTTCTTAAACTCGCTGCCGATTCGGGTGATCCAAAATCTTTTCCACTAGCTTCGTAAAGAAAATCCTCTTATTAGCGTTCCATTTCTCCAGCAATTCTCATCCATCCGTCACTTGTAAATACTTCAATATTCGAAAGGTTTTTTAAACTCGCTGCCGATTGGCTTTTCCGATATACGGGTGATCCAAAATCGTATACACTATTTTCAAAAACAAAATTGTTTCCTTTTAATAATTTTGGCTAAAATTGCATCTGCACGGTCTAACGGAATGTAATTTGCTTTCAATGCATGAATACCCTCATTCACGCTGGCCAGTAGCTTTCATAAACTCGCACCCGATATTCGTTTGATCGAAAATCTTATCCACTAGTTTCGTAAACAAAAATGCTATTATTATTGTTCGTTTACTCCACCAATTCCCACGATGTCCTATAATTTGCTTCCGTCGCTTGTAAGTGCGGCATTTTTAAACTCGCTACCGATATTCGGGTGATCCAAAATCTTATCCACTAGTTACGAGAAAAATTTATTGCCTTATAATAATTCTGACTAAAATCGGATTAATACTCCCATTCACCCCGGGCCAGTAGCTTTCATTAACTCACTGCCGGTTGACTTTTCCGATATTCCGTTGACTTTTCCCATAATTAAAGGATTTTCAGAAATTTGTCTTCTCTTTTCTGTTTTTCAGACATCTCAGATAAAACTGGGCTGACTTCACCCATATATATATATATCTCGTTCAATGATTGCATTGCTTGTTCTCCGTCCTTCATGGACGAACTGATTTCTGCTGCTGTTCCTGAAAGTCTAGAATATCAACTTTCTACATTTTAAATGAACCCATCCTTTTGTAGTTTCCTTATAATAATTCTGGCTAAAATTGGATCGCTGCCGATTGACTTTCCAAAGATGTCATATAATTGGCATCCGTCACTTGTATATGTTGCACTATCCGAAATACATTCTTAAACTCGTTGCCGATTGACTTTTTCGATATTCGTTTGACCCAAAATCTTATCCACTAGTTTTGCAAAACAAAATCCTCTTATTATTGTAAATTTTCTCCTGCCATTTCCACACTAGCATACAAATTGTGTCCGTAAGTCGGAAGGCTTTTGCAACTTCCATAGTTGAGCCATTTTTGTACATAAATAATTATCTTGAATAGGTCGTGAAAGGAGCTCCATTCCTCCATTGAACTTCTTCGAAAGTCTTCTCCTCTCACGAGAGTTTTTAGATAATAAAAGTTTTGCATCTTCGATAGTTGAGCTTTTCAATCTGCCATATTCTTGAATAGGTCGTGGAAGGAACTCTACTCCTCCATATTGCTATTGAAAAGTGAAAATTTTATATTTTTATTCATCTTTACTTCTATCTCTTACTATTCGTCATCCATCTCTTCCATAACCATGTTCCGTGGTTAATTCTAAATGAAGCTGGCTGATGTTCTCCTCTAACCGGACAATTTTTCACACAATTCTTCTATAAAAACATTCTGGCGCGCAACATTTTTTAATAAAATGATAATTTCACTCTGGCTTTTCCTTAGCAAGGGCTTAAATCTTCTTACCTTTACCGTTAGAATTGCACGCCGTCTACAAGGTTAACACATCTTCTACAAGGTTAACACATCTTAAAAGAATATTTGTTTCTCCTCCGCTGGGATGTGAATCCAATCGGCTTATAGACTGCTGGTCGTTTAAAAAATCCCATATTTCGACCGCCCTCCTTCTTTGGAGGAGGTTGTGAGTGCCGCCTTAAACTCCGATATTTATACACAAGAAATTGGCCACATTTATCACTAAAAATATATCGGTCTAGATCGAAATATTTCCCATTGTAGAAGTTCCTAAAGGCTCCTTTTCTTCTGAGATATTCTTCGGCCACTTTGCAATATAAGAGTATAAATAATCTCACTTAAAATAACCTCATACAAATAAAACTGCTAACCACAAAAATTTCACTTTTACTTTCTTTCCTAATAATTCCCAAAAAAATAAATAAAATTTCTGTTTATTTATTTTATTAAATTTCCACATAGCCATACATATATAGGAAAAAATAAAGGTAAACGAATTTATTACATAAAAATCTGAAAGTAAAGAAGACGACGAAGACAACTAAACGTGAAACAAAAATACCAAGCAGAAAATTGCATGCGTCAAGTACTAAAGAGACGACTTCGTCATAGCCCCGAACAAAACAAAAATACACGTCAAGACGCGTCATTTAATGCGCTTGACTGACATACGAAGTACACACACACAACAAATGCTTGTGCTTGAAGCGTGAGGGTGAATGGGGAGGGTAAATGGTGGGGTTCACAAAAAAAAAAAAATGAAGACGAAAATGAGGCAGCCAGCTAGTCACTTAGTCGCCAGTAATTCCTGTTGCTGCTCTCTCAAAATTTAATTGTAAAAAGAAATTACAAAAAAAAAATAAATAAATAAGAAATGGAAAAACATTTTAATTTAAAGAGGGAAAAGTACCAGACGATGTCAAAAGATTTTTTCTATATCTTCCAATTAAGTTGTAATGGAAATATTCTGATTTTTTGAGAAGTAGAGGAACACTTTTGGGTGGTGAAAGAACCTACACATTTTTATTATTTTCCTCGATATCATAAAGGAAAAATTGTAATTGTAGTAAAAAGTTTTACATTCTTGCAGGTTCAGAAACAGACAAATAATGTATCGAATTGTAATTGTTATCGAATGATACTGTGTTATCGATTAAGCTTCCTGTTCACAGAAGGCTTACAATAAAGACGCAATTTTAAGAGTGAATCACATCAACATAAAAATACCTGCATTACCCCCTTTGAATATTCCTAGAACGGATTAATAAATCTACTGCTGTTCCTGAAAGTCCAAAACTGTTCCTGAAAGTTCCTATATAATTATGGCTAAAATTGGATCTACATGGTCTAGTGGAATCGACATTGCCTTCAATGCATGAATACTCTCATTCACCCAGGCCAATGGCTTTCTTAAACTCGTTTCCGATTGACTTGTTCGATATTCGGATGATCCAAAATCTTATCCACTAGTTTGGCAATGCAAAATCCTCTTATTATTGTTCATTTTCTCCAGCAATTCCTACGATGTCATATAATTTGCGTCCGTCACTTGTAAATGCTGCACTATTCGAAATGCTTTTATAAACTCGCTGCCGATTGACTCTTCCGATAATTGGGTGATCCAAAATCTTATCCACTATTTTCGAAAAAATGGATTTCCTTATAATAATTCTGGCTAAAATTGGATCTACACGGCCTAAGGGAATCTACATTGCTTTCAATGCATTATTACTTCAAGTTTTTATAAGCTAGCATCCGATATTTGGGTGATCCAAAATCTTATCCACTAGTTTCGCAAAGAAAATCCTATTATTGTGCCTTTTTTTCAAGCAATTGCTATTATGTCATATAATTTGCATCCGCCACTTATAAATGCTGCACAATGCGAAAGGCTTTCTTAAGCCTCGCTGCCGATTGTATTTTCCGATATTTGGGTGATCCAAAATCTTATCCACTAGCTTCGTAAACAAAATTCTCTTATCATTTTTCATTTTCTCCAGAAATTCTTACGATGACATAAAATTACCATCTGTCACTTTTAAATGCTGTACTATTCGAAAGGGTTTTTTTTTTTTTAACTCGCTGTCGATTGACTTTTCCGATAATTGGGTGATCCAAAATCTTATTCACTAGTTTGGAAAACAAAATGATTTCCATATAATAATTCTGGCTAAAATTGGATCTGCATGGTCTAACGGAATCTACATTGCTTTCAATGCATGAATACTCTCATTCACCCCAGGTCCGTAGCATTCTTAAACTCGCTACCGGTTGACTTTTCCGATATTCGAGTGATACAAAATCGTATCCACTAGTTTCGCAAAGGATACCCTCTTATCATCATTTTCTCCAGAAAGATATTGGTGACTGAGAATGTTCATACATTGAATCCATAGAGGACTTATTATAATTGAATATCTGCCCAATAGTACTCTTCTTGCAATGTTTGCTGGTTCTTTATGAGGAAACATATTTATATATTTATTATATAATGTATTTACTTCAAAAGATATCCGCTCTGTGGTCACACAAATATACATACATAGATAATTGTTTCTTATTGCGAATACGCAGTTTATGTGTATCGCGTGATCTTTGCTGACGACTAAACGATGAAAAATAAATTGAAATTACTCAAGAATTTCTGTTTTTTTTTTTTGTTCTTCTTAAAATGAACGAAAGATAAAAAAAGACCCAAATAATATATCATGCGGCATATACTTCATAGAATATACAACATGCTGCCAATATTTTGCGCACATACACAGCACATTTCAACAACATATTTCAATAAGTTGCTGCGAACAAATTAAGCAGGCCAGATGGACACAGAGATAGAATAGAGAATGAAGAACATTTGACACATACTTGGCGATCATTTGATGTGCTGAAAATACTATTTTGGATTTTAAAACAGGGTTGGCGTAATTTCAGTTATTATATATGGTTGTTCTTACGATCCATTATAGAGATATCGTAAATCGGAGGAAAAATTTGCTACCTTTTAAAATTTATAAAGGAAGAAACGAAAACTACTTCGATTGATAGAGGATTTATATCGGGTTCTGGAACTGAGCAATACCCTAAAATTTTTTTGTAAATCAATTTTAATTTGCTGAATGTTTAAAATATGAATATCAGCTTCAATTGGATGTTCAAGTTATGTTTAGGCATGAATACTATCATGCATTGAAAGCAATGTAGATTCCGTGCAGATCCAATTTTAGCCGGTATTATTACAAAAGAAATCATTTTGTTTTCGAAACTATATCAGAAGAGTCAATTGACAGCGAGTTTAAGAAAGCCCTTCGAATATTGCAGCATTTTCAAGTGAAATGGATGGAAATTATAGGACATGGTGGAAATTTCTGGAGAAAAGGAACAATAATAAGTGAATTTGAAACGTATCAACTCTATTTTGAATTAGTTTATTTATTTTTATCTGAATTCCATTTATGTATTTTATTTTTATAGTGTAAACACGTTTATTTATGCTTTACATATTAAAATGCAACTGTGGTTTAAACATTTGAAATTAACGCTTAGCTATGTAAATATTTTGTAAATAGTACCAAAACAGACATCACTGATATTACTACATGTTTACACAACTCATACTAGATTAGAATCTCGCTTCTCAAATGTAGTACTTAAGCAAACCCAAATTTCAATAAAGTCACTCTGATTCCTTTAGCGAACACTGAAGGCTTAAGATCACTACCCACGCTTGCCCAAGTTGATGGAATAGATCATAAGCTCAAAGAAATTCCCAAATAAGGAAGGAGTAAAAAGTTAATATTGTTGTTTCGTATGAAGCCATATCAGCTCCGCTCACGAGCTCAATTTGTCTAGTCTAGTGTCAAAAAATTGACTTTATTTACGTTTTCATAATTTAAGTCTATTCACAATAATGGATTTTGACAGCAAACTTTAGAAGCAGCTGTTCTATTTAATTGACCCTATTAATAGGACTTAAATTCCACAAAAAATTGATGTTTTTGTTTTGACACAATCGCCTTATTATTGCATCATATGTGTTGAAGTCAATTCACAATAATGGATTTTGACAGCTAACTTGAGACGCAGCTGATATGTATACAGCTGATCTTTCCCTTGATAATCAATAGACCTTGATTTGAATGTTACACCTTTATTTTATGATGGTCCAGAAATATTTTTGGAATAGGAATTTTAAAGGTGATTTCGATTCATTAAACCTTGAGAGCGATAACAATGATCTGTGTACAAAACACTGGCACCCATGGCATAACTATACAAGGTTGTCTCATTTGAGAAATTGATAATGGCAACCCTTCTTAATATGGAATTCATTTATCAAATTATAATAAAATTAAAAATAAATTCCGATCGTCATATTTTCAACAAATTAAAAAAAAAATTTTGTCTAAAGCTCCACATTGTTCTCAAGATTTAACTAAGAATGTTGCAATTTTGTATTTATAGGTTTTATAGGCAGGGGACGTAAAAAATATTAATAAATATAAATTATTCAAAATTTTTTGCCACTGGACACAAGAATTGCGTACATTTCGAAGGAAGATATTTTTATTTAAATTTTAAAAGCTAAATACTGTCAAAGAGAAATTTATGAAAAAAAAAATGGAAACATATGACTGCATGAGACTACCTTGTATAATTATGACATGACTTACATTATGGATATCGGGTATTTTGACATTATTTTTTAGTATGTTCCAGAATATGCAGTGATCATTTATCAATCGAAATTGTTTCCGAATTTTCCTGTATACATTTGGGTACAGGAATTTAAAATACGTTTACATTAAACCGGATTTCGTTAACCCAGTGGGTTTAAATTGTCAAATTGTCATGTAGGTTAACCCGGTGAAAAGATCTAAAACGGCATATACATTAGAACTTTTTACCGGGTTAACCTACTTTATCAGGATTTATTTGACATATATACAAAGGAATTGACAATTGAAACACACTGCGTTAACGAAATCCGGTTAAATGTAAACATACTATAATGCAATTAACGGTGTGTGAAATTTGAGTATGAAATAAATTTCAGAATTTTGAATATAAATTAAGTATGTGTATTGATTTGAGTTCATTTCATTAAAAAAAAATTAAAAATATCAGAATATGTATAGGGGTAAAAATTATCAACAGAGCAAAAAGTTTGTTTTGAAATGTATACCTCCCAAGTTTAAGATTAATAACAAATTTTAAGTTTTTGCAATGAAAAATAATGCCAGGAGAAGAACGGACACATCATTATGCGACGCGTTTCGCCGTTGGTTAAGCGGATCTAAGGATACGTAGTCGATCGTAAAAGTCGTTTTTTGACTTTTCGATTCATTGACTTTTCGGTCATTGTTAATCATTTGACTAAAAAGTCGACTTTTCGAACTTTCGATTTTGTCAAAACTGTTCAAAATCGATTTTCGACTTTTACTGACTTATGCAAAAAATTATTAAAAATTTGATTTTTTATATGAATTAATGGAAGGTAGAGTCAAGTTCGGAAAAGTGTAATTTTTGGGCAATTTGGGCTTTGTGATAATAAATAAAGTATTTATGAAGAAAATCGAAAGTCGATCTTGAAAAGTCGACTTTACGATATTCTCATAGATCGATAGTCGACTTTGACTTACTTATCCCTAAGCGGATCATCAGGCATATTGGGCTATGTGGCTTTACAAAGGTCGTATGCTGATAACTTGTATTTATGTCGCCCTGATGCGAACTTGCATATGCGAATTAAATTCAAATTTGTCAAGGTTCGGCATTTGTCTTCATTCTAGAAACAGTCCTTTTCAAAGCAGATTTTTGTTGTAACGATGGATAATTAATCCACACACCTACAATTGCTTCCATGGTGTACACATGTTTTTACGCAACATTTTAGGAAAAGTTTCATTCAAATGATCACTGCCCTTACAAGGCAAAATTCAAATAACAAAGATTAATACAAACTATATAAAATCCAACATCCCGACAATATAACTTATCAGCTATGCTGCAAACCAGTATTATTTTATTATTACAAAATTTCACACTGCACTTTTATTTTAAACTTCGAAATTGTCTCCATGAAAACTACATTCACATGAACCCACATAAAAAAAATATTTTAATTTACCTTCAAATGCTAATCAAGATTAAGGACACGGTCTACATATAATATTCTATATATATAGCAAAGGGGGTCTAACCCAACATAATAATTATAATAAAAGTGTTTTTCACATAGTAATAATAAATTTATTATTAGAAGGTCGCTGCATTTATATAACAAAAATAACAAAAAAATTGCATACGTCAAGTCAATTGATAAGATGCCAATAAATAGTTTTGTAAAATTGTTTGTTTATTTCGAAATAAATAATAATAATATTATTGGAAAAATATTTTTCTCAGTTCTGCGATTGATTGACAGTGCAGATGATAACAAACTCGGCAGATTAGTTTTGTCTTCACAAAAAAACACGTGTGATGCAAACTATTGTGCACTTTCCATTTGTAAATCTGCTATCACTGCTATCACAAAAAATAATAATTGCATTTTTATTATAAAACAATACCGCTTGGGGGGTATCAATCAACAAGTTGAACAACCTTGTACACAGAGAAAAAAGAAATAAAATGGGGATTTATTTCCAAAAAGGGTCAGAAAACTTTTTTCACTTTCAGCACATAACCTTTTATTATAGTACGTTTACATTTAACCGGATTTTGTTAACCCAGTGGGTTTCAATTGTCAATTCGTTTGCATATACAGTGGTGGTCATAGAATTAAAACATTTACTGTTGTAAACATTTTTTGACCAGCCCTCAATTCGTTTGAAGTATTTTTGAAAATTTTTTAATTCAGAACACTTCGATATACTGCACTTAAGAGATTTAATATGAAAATAGAAAATTATTTGCAATTTTTCCATAAATAACGGTTTTTATGAAAATACATCGACTTTGAAGTGGCCATATAATTAAAACATTGTGTGGAATTGTTTACTTTACTGCATTTTTTGAAAATATTTTTAGAAAAGCTACTTAATTTAGTTAAATTATGTAAACTAAGCTCCGATAAAATCATTTGCAGATAAAAATTTTTGAAAAAATCTGTAAAATCGATCAAAATTGCCAAAAAAATTGTACAGTACACCTTACATTCAGATAATCACCCTTATTATAGAAAATAAAGGTCCGAATGCACCAGAAATTGCTAGAATTAGTAGAAAACAATAAATAATTCTCAAAATAAATAAATATTTGAAATAAAAACTCAAATAATGGGAATTAACTTAAAGGAACGATTCAATTTCAATAGCCTTTACTGAAGAAGACCGGAATATTTTTGCAGTATATTAGAAAAAAATCAATTGATATTGTTATTTATTATATCAAATCGACTGTTCGAGTAGTACAGAATGTATTTAATCAAAAAATATATCAGTTACAACAGAACGAACAGAGATCAACGTCTACGTTGACGAGTAAAGTTTTCTGGCACACAGTAGCATGATTGATGGTCAACTCATGACACTTAAAATCTATTGAACATGACAATATTTTTCCAAAATAATATTTTTTGAATCGAATAACTTCCACTTAATCTATTTTAGTATCAAGGAAGTAAAAATTTTACAGTTTGACAAATATTTGAAGTCTTGTGCTGAACATCAAAAATGCTGCTGTGTGCCAGAAACTTCTACTCGTCAACCTAGGCGTTGATCTCCGTTCGTTCTGTTGTAACTGATATATTTTTTGATAAAATATATTCTGTACTTCTCGAACAGTCGATTTGATATAATAAATAACAATATCAATCGATTTTTTCTCACATACTGCAAAAATATTTCGGCCTTCTTCAGTAAAGGCTATTGAAATTGAATCGTTCCTTTAGGTTAATTGCCATTTTTTGAGTTTTTATTTCAAATATTTATTTCTTTTGAGAATTATTTATTGTTTTCTACTAATTCTAGCAATTTCTGGTGCATTCGGACCTTTATTTTCTATAATAAGGGTGATTATCTGAATGTAAGGTGTACTGTACAAATTTTTGGCAATTTTGATCGATTTTACAGATTTTTTCAAAAATTTTTATCGGTAAATGATTTTATCGGTGCTTAGTTTACATAATTTAACTAAATTAAAGAGCTTTTCTAAAAATAATTAAAAAAGCAGTAAAGTAAAAAATCCCATACAATGTTTTAATTATATGGCCACTTCAAAGTCGATGTATTTTCATAAAAACCGTTATTTATGGAAAAATTGCATGCAATAATTTTCTATTTTCACACTAAATCTCTTAAGTGCAGTATATCGAAGTGTTCTGAATTAAAAAAAATTCAAAAATACTTCAAACGAATTGAGGGCTGGTCAAAAAATGTTTACCACAGTAAATGTTTTAATTCTGTGACCACCACTGTATGTCAAATAAATCCTCATAAAGTAGGTTAACCCGTAAAAAGTTCTAATGTATATGCCGTTTTATTTCCGTTCGTTCATTTGCCTTTGACGTTTGTCTCTCTCCCTTCTCATTTGTTTTTTTCTGGGTAATATCCCATCATGTTTTCCAAATTCCCCGAATTTGTTATTGTTGTTTCCAAATTTGAATGGTTGTGTAAAAACGGTCATTGTTAATCATCTCAATTGAATTAACCTTGACAATAACAGTGAAATCGTATTTTTCGGGGGAGATAAAAATTGGGAATAAATTTGTTAATTGGACAATTAACGACCACATTTTCAACTTTCAATATTAAAAAAAAAAATAATTTTTTTTCCTCCTTGACAATTGTCCATGTAATAGTAGGTTTATATTATACCGGATTTCGTTTACCCAGTGGGTTTGAATTGTCAATTCCATTGTATATATGTCAAATAAATCCTGATAAACTAGGTTAACCCGGTAAAAAGTTATAATGTAAATGCCGCTTAAGAATCTATATATTCACTTGTGACAATTGTCTCTCATCGAATTCCCTCTGTTCTTCTTCTTACATAAAATTCTCTCTCACACACGTGTCACGCTATAAAATTCTGTTATAAATAAAGACCTTAATAGGTCGTTGTCATGGCGATCCTATGCCTTAAAATACTATTTATTTGATCGATGACATTTGTTCCAAAAAACCATCAACTAAATATAGTTTTGTACGTAAATTAAATGTTCACCAAGAAAATATGACATAAACATAGGCACACATACATATGTGTATGACAGACGTGCCCCTCAGCATGTTTGCTGAAATACAGCGAAGCAGGGACGTACGCAATGAATTTTTTTTTCACAGTAAATTTATGTCTGCAACAGCGAATTTTTTCATCTCAACTCTAATGTCAAAAATTTGTACATTGTTTACGTTTTCATAATGGAAGTCAATTCACAACAATGGATTTCGACAGCAACCATGAGAGGCAGCTGGTCTCTCTGAACGACTTTGGACCAGTATTAAAATGATATAGAGCAAGGCCTATAAATAAGGTCGTCCTGGGAGACCAGTTCGATGTCAGCTACCTCTTAAGTTTGCTAAAAAAAATCCATTATTGTGAATTGGCTTTCATTATGAAAACGTAAACAAATGCCAAATTGTTGCCATTAGACTTGAGAGAAAACAGCTGACTTTCATTAGCTTTGTGAGGAAAGGTGATGTATTTCTTGGTACAAAAAAAGTGTTAAGTCTGCTTTTCCACAGGCAGATTTTTATTTGGCACATTTTTTGTTTTCTCTTTTGAAATTTTCCCTTGCTTTTCCATTAGCAAATTTTTCTTTGCCAAATTTGCGAATCAAAATACAAAAGAAAGAAAATAAAAGTCAAAAGTGTTTGCATTTTAAAGATTTTTTTTAATATTTCATTTATTTTTTATATATTTTATTATATAAATTGCAAAAATTAAAAATTAAATGTCACTTGCACAAATTAAAGCAACAGGTTTGTAAACAAAAGCCGGCTGTGTGTCAGTAAAGCGAATGGCTTCAAAAGGAAATGTCAACAAAATTGTTTTCAACGAACAGAGCAAAGCAGAATTTGCGTGTACGCAAATTCTGAACAGGCAAATTTTTGTTTTTCTTCCTCGCACCCCCCTCGCCTACAAACTCAGTATTTGCCAAATAAAAATTTGCCTGTGGAAAAGCAGACTAAAGCTCTACTTTGGGTGTCAATGAGAGGAGCTGGTATGGCTTCATCCGAAACAATAAGATTTAAAATAATACTTTTAAGGGAGAAACACAAACGAGGATTCAGGCATGGCCTGTTAAATAAGGCTTTGGAATATCAGAGTCAAACTTGAATTTCAACGCCGTTCTCCTTTATTCTTTTACAATAAAAGAAGCCAAGTTAACATGTCAATCATGGCATAACTATACATGGTAGTCTCATGCAGTCATATGTTTCCAATTTTTCATAAATTTACCTTTGACAACATTCAGCTTTCAAAATGTAAACGAAAATATCTTCCTTCGAAATGTACGCAAATCTTGTGGCAAGTGTCAAAAATGTTTGAATCATTTATATTCATAAATATTTAAATCTTGAGAACAATGTACAGCCTTAGAAAAAATATATTTTTTTAAATTTGTTGAAAATTTGCCAATCGCCATGCGTAACATTTTATGGAATTTATTTTTAATTTTATTTGAAATTGATATATGAATTCCATATTAAGAGGGGTTGCCATTATCAATTTCTCAAATGAGACCACCTGGAATAGTTATGCCATGATGCCAATCCTCTTATGTGTTTCCCCCTTTACCCCTTGTTTAGGAATAACTTTCAGCTTTTGATCTGAGTCCATCAACTCGGGTAAACGTCGTTTTTGATCTTAAGTTTTCAGTTTAAGCCATGGCATAATTACAGAAGGTAGTATCATTTGAGAAGTTAATGATGGCAACCATTTTTAATTTGGAACCCATTTATCAATTTCAAATTTATTGAAAAAAAATCCAGATGTATCAAAACAAATACCTTCGTTTTTTTGTCTCGACCATCTGTCAAATGTTTCCTTATAATATTTCACATGGTTGGCCACATTGCATATCGAATTCAAGTAGAAATTTTCGCACTTTGACAGTTAGTCGAGTTATCAGCTGCGCTAAATGGACTACATATTTATCTATAGCCTAAACGCGCCTTCAGTATTGTATATATATAAAAAGGGGATAGTCAAAGTTTATAGTATGTAAACCTCTTTGAATTACGGAAATAAATGGGAAACTTAAAGAGTGTTTAAACTACGACATTTCAAATGTAAATTCCATGGCGTATACGCCATAATAAGTTGATGTATTTATCTAGTAATATTTCTCATGGTTGGCAACATTCCATATCGAATTCAAATAGAAACTATGCACTTTGACAGTTAATCGGATAGTCAGCTGCGCCGAAGGCATTACCCATGATGCAATTAAGGTGATGTATCAAAACAAAACCCTTGGTTTTTGTCTCCACCATTTTTCAAATGTTTCCTTATAATATTTCTCATAGTTGGCAACATTGCACATCGAATTCAAGTAGTAATTACCCACTGCGGCACTTATTCGAGACATCAGCAGCGTCTAAATGGAATACCTATTTATTGTGCCATGGGATTACCTATTTATTGTGTCAGGTTTCAATTGTAAACAAAAATCAGCTGATCGGCTTTTAGATGCTGTACAAGTTAGAGTAAATCAGTTGTTCTCAGATAACTTATTAAATTTTGTTTCACGAAATTAATCTTGAACATTATATATGAATCATTCTCTATGTGTAATTTATATTTTGATTTTATAATTTCCTGCTGCAAGAATCGACTATGATAACATGTTTCCTTTACGATATCGAAAAATTAGTATATCCTTGATCCGTGCGGGAACATACCATTTAATTTTCCACCTGTTAGGAAAGTACATTTTCCTTTAAAATATCTAAATCATCGCATAATTAAAAAATCATCTCATAATTCAAAAATGTTTTAAATCACACAGATGTGATAAAAAAAATATACCCACACTTGTGTACGTACACGTGTGACAGTGTACCACATCTGTCACCCACAGAAAAAAAAAACATAATTGAGAGACACACACACACACACTCGAAACGTTTCTTCAGTGGGGGCCTGAACAATAACAACAACAACAAAATGCCAGACCAACCAATAATATCCAAAAACACGCGATTCAAGGAGGCAAACGAGACACGCCGACCGAACCATTGCTGCTCGGCAACATAAATTAATATCCCGAATAGTGATGTTGTTGTTGTTTGTATTATGAACGTCAGAATATTGACAGAGAGCCCAGCAGCAGAAAGTGAGAACATGTCACACAGACACATCCATCCATTAATATAGCAATAATAACAATAATAATAATTTGTTCTTTCCCCCAATTTATTTTTTCCGAATAGAATAGGAGATTTGATGAAAATCGCACACAAAAGTGAAATCAGTTGACAGTCAAACATCACCAACAACGGTTGGTGTTCTGTTCTATCCTCGGATAGTTTTGTGACATAAATAAAAAGAGAAATTGTGCAAAGTGCAAGTGAATAACGAAAAAAAAACATAATAAGGAAATAAAATTTCATTACAAGTGTCCTTGATATTCAAGTGTCATAATAATTAACATAAAAATTACCGTTCACAATGTTTCGGAAGTGTTTGACGACATTAGTGCAAAGCACAGTTAGCACCACTGGAACTTTAACGCCAAAAGCCAGAGAATTTCTCCGGCGTTCTATGCACAATGGAACTATGGGTCGTCCACCAAAAATTTTGATAACTGGTGGGTTGAAAAATAAAAAGAAAAATTAATTTGTAAAGTGTTAATTAGTTTCTGAAAAAAGTGTCATTGGTTTGTACTTGATTTAATAATTGTTGAGTGTGGAAACGATGTATTACAAAATGATGCTAGAGGTTATAAAAGCTGAATATACAATCAGCTGATTTATGCCATTTATTTAAATTCAATGACAATATAAATTAAGAATTTTAATTTAAAACACATTTGATGTAAACTAGCCTAATTCATAATGAAATGGGATTAGCTCTTGAAGGATAAACACTAAGTAAAATACCTGAGCAATTAGCATGAACAACTGACATATTTAAACTTTATGATATTGAAAAGATTTTAACTGTGTTTTAAAGAAAAGTGCCGTTAATGTAAACGTGACTTAAATTTTCAAATTTAATAGGGAACAAGTGAAAAAGCGTTAAGTTCGGCCGGGCCGAACTTTGTATACCCTCCACCATAGATATACTGACAGGTTCTAGAAATGAAAATAAAGGAAACATACCAAAAAGTGGACCTATACCGACATGTCTAAAATCGGATTATGTAAACCATAATACAAATTTCAGAAATTTTTAATTGATAATTCAAATTCGAAGATGCGGAATATCGGTCCACTCCTTCTGAAACCTCCACAGAGGCTAGGTCTAAATGCGACTATAGTTCATTATCGAACCTTACGTTCTAATTTTTTACCTCGCTATCCCCTGCAGGTGAAATGATTACACTAGAGTCTTAGAACCAAACTCAAAACGCGGAACATATCAGATAACTATATTAATATAAAAAAAGGGGGTTATATGGGGACTACCCCAAAAAGGGGGCGAATATTAATAATTTTTGGTAGAGAGATTTGGTACCTATTAAGAACTCAAAATACTAAATTACAGCTAATTCGGCGGAAAAATACGATCAAAACCCCCAAAATTCTAAAAATTGGGAGGTACCATTATATAGGGGCTACCAGAAAAAGTGTACCTATATTTATAATTTTTTGTGGAGACATTAAGGACCCAATAAGAACCCAATGTAGCAAAGTTCAGCGAAAAACGTGCTCAAGAACCCCAAAATACCGAAAATTGGGGGGTACCCTTATATGGGGGCTACCCGAAAAAATTGACCTATATACATAATTTTTTTTAGAGAGGTTTGGTACCTATTAAGAACTCAAAACACTAAATTACAGCCAATTCGGCGGAAAAATACGACCAAAACCCCCAAAATACTGAAAATTAGGAGGTTCCGTTATATGGGGGCTACCAGAAAATATGGACCTATACTTATAATTTTTTGTGGAGACATTTAGTATCCAATAAGAACCCAATGTACCAAATTTCAGCGAATTCGGCAGAAAAAGGCGCTCAAGAACCCTAAAATACCGAAATTTGCCGGGTACCCTTATATGGGAGCTATGCCTAAACGTGGACCGATATATCCCATCTTCGAACTTGATCTGCCTGCAGACAAAAGACAACCCTATGCAAAATTTCAGCACACTATCTCAATTCCTTCAGAAGATAGCGTGATTACAACAGACGGGCGGACATGGCTAGATCGTCTTAGAATTTTACCCTGATCATGAATATATATACTTTATATGGTCGGAAATGAATATTTCGAGGAGTTACAAACGGAATGACAAAATTAATATACCCTCCATACTATGGTGGAGGGTATAAAAATGAAGCATCATGGAAATATGGAGTTTAATATTTTACAAAAGTGCACTTATTGGAAATTAAACGGCATTTACATTAGAACTTTTTACAGGGTTAACCTACTCTATGAGGATTTATATGACAAATATCAATGGAATTGACAATTGAAACCCACTGTGTTAACGAAATCCGGTACAATGTAAACGTACTATTATATTCTTTGGAGTACGGATTTTGTAGAAATGCATTTGAAGTAAACATAAAGTGCCTTTACACGGACCGTGTTTTATTATAGATTACCATTTAATCGTCGTTAAGGTTACTAATCAATTAGGGTTTCCATAAAACATGTTTAGTGTAAATCAGGCTCGAGCCATATTTAAAATATATATGGAATACTTTTCAAAACGTTTGTTTTAGATTTACGAAATCCACTGTATAAAATGTCAATAGCGTATAAATCACATGAAAGCCATTAGGTTTATGTATCTCTATAATTTACTTGACGCTGGCTGAATCAGAGATTATTTTCTTAATCAGGCTGAATTTAGAATAATTTATGATAAAAATTTAAATCAAGGTGCTGCAGGTTTTATTTTAAATCACGATCGAAATTATGGTACTAATGAGATGCAACGCGATTTTTGAATGGAAAAATACAACTCTCTCACAATGTAACAAAATTTGCAACTGTTTTCACATGCTGTTTATTTTTATATTTAACGGTTGTCAAATGCAAAAATGAAAATCAAAGAAAAACAAAAAAATATTTATAATTTTTTTTTTTTGTTTTTGCAAAAATATTGAAATTGTTTTAATTCTTCTTTTCATTTTCAAATTGCAAACAAATATTTTTTTGGCGCAAATAAATAATTTTATATGTATTCTGATAAACATTAGATGATCGACATTTAGATCATGATTAAAGTTATATGTAAACAAGTTGGGCGTATTTCTGGATTTCGTTAATCAAGTCGATTTAGAATCGTATATGTAAATGTACTTTTGGGGACTTTATGCAAATTTAAAGTTGACATTTCTGTTACTATTTTTAAGAAGGTCCAATACGAACAAGGTTTACTAAGAAGCGAAAAACAGCTGTTCTTTTCTCAAATTGATAATAATAAACGCACTCACTCGTTCCGTATGTTTTCATATTTAACAGAAGAAGCACTACGTACAGAGTTGCATTTTTGTTGGGTGATGTATCAAATGTTTTTGTCCCTACCATTATTTCTAGTAATATTTTAAATGGTTGGCAACATTACACATCGAATTCAAGTAGAAACTACAAACTTTGACAGTTAATCGAATCGTCAGCTGCGCTAAATGGACTACCTATTAATTGTGTTATTATCTCAAATTATTGTATCACCAATGCATGTAAAAGAACATCTAAATTCCTATACTATGTTTACATTGATTTTCTTTGCATGAAGTTAAGGCGCGTTTAAACTATACCTTCTAAATCGTATCTATTTCTAAGTTGAGGTACAAACTTCTTGCTGTTTAAACTAGTGTCAAAATGATATAAAGCCAATCAGCTGATATTTGTTTACGTGTAAACACACATTTCTAACTTTAAGCTCTTCAGTGTTTTCATAATTGTAATAGAGACCATCGATTGAGAGACTATCGATTGAGATTTTATTGAGGGTTGACACTTTTGATACATTTAAGAAATGTGATGCATTTTTTGGTACAAAAACAGTGCTTTGAAATAATCTCGATTACGCAAAGGATTTCGAGCAAATTCATTTAATGAGTGGATTTATTTTATATGGTAAAGCGAGGTAAATTCAGCTCGCTAAACGCGCCTTAATGGATGTAAATAGACACCACTAAATTCTATCTTTTTTGTTTGGGCCATGTTTATTACAGAACAAATATTTTTTATGTTTATATAATCAATTTTTAATTTAATATAAATTTTTTAATTATACTTTTTAACAATTTATAACGCATTTACATTTAACAACTTTTTACCAGTGGGTTTCAATTGTCAATTCTTACTTTATGAGGATTTATTTGACATATATGCAAAGGAATTGACAATTGAAAGCCACTGGGTCAACGAATTCTGGTTAAATGTAAACGAATTATTACATAATTTTTTATTACGTAAAAAATTCCAAAAAAACTATTAATCTGAAACTATACTCATGTTTTTTTTTTAATTTGTGTTGCTAACGTCAAACATACTTACAGAAAAGAAAACATTTAGGTCAAATAGCTTTCAAACAGTTTAGACAACTCTTCCGCGGTGAAAAAATACAGTATTATAGTTCATACTCGTGTCACATCTATTTTTTTCTAATTTTTATTATCCCCCAGGGGCTTGTTTTGTGTTTGCGTGGGCTCCATGTCTTCGTTCCAAAAATATACACATTGTCTATCTATTGAAAATGAAAATTATAAAATGTTTAATAGATTTTGGCAATGATCCTAAAAACGTGTGCCAAAATCAAGGCCAAATTTGTGACAAAAAAATCTGTTGTATTCGCATCGAAACCAAGGTGAAATATGACATCGTTTGATGTTTTTTGAAAATTTCTAAACAATTTAGCTTGAGTAAATATATATATATATATACAGATTATAGTATATCGTATCCAAGTGGGGTTATTAACACTAGTTTTCTTTAATAGAACCACTACTAGAGAATTTGTTGGTGTGTGGCCTTCAAGATGTTGCAGATTGTTTTTTTTTTAATTTCACTGTTCTTCGATATCATAAAGTGTTATCGTAGTAAAAAATAGTAGATTCTTGTAGTACGGGCACGGACCATGTATGTTTGAACAACATTTTTCCAAAATGAAAGAGAAAGAAAAACATTGCAAAGACTCAATATATGGTATGCCTTGGTGACATATTTTATTTCGATCTAGTTAGCACTGGCAATTGCTAGATTTAAACGGCATTTACATTAGAACTTTTTACCGGGTTAACCTACCTTATGAGGATTTATTTGTCAACGACTAACGTACTATTTGTTAACGAGTAACGTACAGTAAACGTACTATTAGACTAAGTTTAGATTTACGAAATCCACTAGATCTCAAATGTCAATTTCATAGCGTATACCTCAAAAATAATTCACTGGATTTGTGAACAGAACATAGTTCATGATAGCTCCCTAAAAATTTTATAAAAATCTGTAATTTTTAAAAAGATAATATATTACATCAAGGTGTAACAGTACTTTCATTAACCCAGTGAGTATAAGTTGTCAATTCCATTGCATATATGTCAAATAAATCCTGATAAAGTAGGTTACTTACTTAGCTGGCTTGTTACAGAACGGTTGTTCCATAAGCCGAGCTTAAAAAAGATTTCCAAGCGCGTCGGTCTTGTGCGCAGAGAGAATTTTTCTTTCAAACACCCCAAGAGATACCTCATCTGCTTGCGCAAGTACCCATGCTTCTGATCCAAATAATAGCACAGGTAGTATCAGCGTCTTGTAAAGTTTGAGTTTGGTCTGGCGGGAGGTGGCCTTGTTTCTATACTGCTTACTTACACCATAGCAGCATCGGTTGGCCATCACAATCCTTCTCCGAATTTCAAAATTGATGTCATTCGTTTTATTTATGGCCGTACCAAGGTATGTAAAGTCCAGTTCCACAGTTGGTCCGAGTCTACTGGACGTCTTGCGCGTTGATATCATCAGCTTGGTCTTCTCGCCGTATACTGCCAGACCCACTTTGGAAGACTCCTTTTCAATTTGTTCAAAGGTAGTTGTTACCGTTCGCAATGGGCGACGCATTAAATCGATGTCAACGGCGTAGGCGAGTAACATGTTTTGTTTGGTGTACAGAGTGCCATTTCTATTCACCTTTGCGTCTCGTATGACCTTTTCCAGCAGGATGTTAAAAATATCACAGGACAAACTGTCACCTTGTGTGAATCCTCGTTCGGTATTGAAGGGCTCCAATAGGTCCTTTCCTACTTTAAGTGCTGATCTTGTGCCACTTAAAGTTATCCTGCATAGCCGTATTAATTTTGCAGGAATGCCGCACGTAGACATGGCTTCAAACACCTCTATACGGCTTTATAGTCGACGAATAGGTGGAACGTGTCGATGTGTTTTCCGTGGGTCTTTTCCAGGATTTGTCGCAGAGTGATAATCTGGTCAATGGTGGATTTGCCAGGTCTGAAGCCACATTGGTATGGTCCGATGATGTCATTGACCATTGGCTTCAATCGTTCACACATCACACTGGATAGTACTTTATATGCGATGGGAAGGAGACTTATTCCTCTATAGTTGGTACATACCGTCTTGTCTCCTTTTGTGTACGGGACACAGGATGCTGAGGTTCCAATCATTGGGCATGCATTCATCTAGCCAAATTGTACTAATCAGCTGGTGCATGCTTCTGACCAGCATCTGGCCAATAGTTCGGCTGGTAACCCATCGGCTCCTGCTACTTTGTTGTTCTTGAGCCGATTAATTGCTTTTATGACCTCATCTTGGCTAGGTGGTATACACTCTATACCATCATCTCTTATTGGTTCTGGCGTATCTTCTTCCACTATTTGACACTAGAAGCTTTTCAAAATGCTCCTTCCAGATCCTCAACACGCTGTCTGTATCTGTCACCAAGTTTCCTTCTTCATCTCTACCGGAGGATGTGCCTGCACCAAAGCCTTCCGTTTGGTGTTATACTCGTTGGTAAAATTTCCGGACTTCATTCTGACTCCTGTACATCTCGATTTGCTCACGCTAACGTTTTTCTTGTTCTTTCTGTTTTCTGAAAACACGTTTCTCCTCTCTCCTTTTCTCCCGATAATTCTCCATCACGTTACGTGTTGCTACTGTCTGCAGGGTTGCCCTATACGCTGCGTTTTAACCCGATTAAGTTACACATATTCAAGTACAAATGGATTAACACACCATTGAATTTGTCCCCAAAACCACCGATACATGATGTTTACACAAGGCGTAAAATAAATACAATCCTGTTTTATTGTTATATTTTTATACATTTGCCTTTGTCGTCTCACAGTTTTAGGTCTTTTGACAGAAAAATCCAAGATTCTATTTAAAAAATGCTTAATAAAATTTACTTTATAATTTTTTCTATGTTTTTTAATTAATGTATTATTTTCTCCCCTTTCTTTTTCCCCCCCTTCCAGGTGGTTTGGGTCAATTGGGCATTGAATGTGCCAAGCTATTGCGTTCCCAGTATGGTAGTGAAAATGTCATTCTCTCGGATATCATAAAGCCCAACGATGCCATTTGCGAAAGTGGTCCATATATTTTTGCTGATATTTTAGATTTTAAAGGATTGCAGAAAATTGTTGTCGATCATCGTGTCGATTGGTTGATACATTTTTCAGCTTTGCTGTCGGCGGTGGGAGAACAAAATGTGCCATTGGCTGTCAGGTATGTATAGATAATCGTGGTGTAACCCATGGAAATAACTAGACTAGACTTTCACTAATAATAACAAAAAATACTATTTATATCACAATCACAACAATGAACATAATAATAATTTAGCTTGTGGTTGTCTGTGAGTGAGGCCCACAAAAAAATTTAATTAAACATTGTTGTGATTGCATGTCGTTTTCATTTGGGCAAATTATGTATTTCCTTGTAATAATGTAATAACACAGTTAGCTGTCACTTAAACCTCCTCCTCCAACGAATAATTTTTTGTTTTTCTTTGCAGAGTCAACATTGAGGGTGTCCACAATGTTATCGAACTGGCAAAACAATATAATTTGCGCATATTTGTACCAAGCACCATTGGCGCCTTTGGCCCGGAGAGTCCACGCAATCCAACACCAAATGTTACAGTAGGTTACCCGTGTGATTTCCTCGAATTTGACATGGATTTAGTTTAATGGGAATTGTTTTTTATGTTTTTAGATTCAAAGACCCCGCACCATTTATGGTGTCTCAAAAGTTCATGCTGAACTAATTGGAGAGTATTATTATCATAAGTTTGGTTTAGATTTTAGATGTTTACGTTTCCCCGGTGTTATTTCCAGTGATCCACCAGGTGGTGGCACTACTGGTGAGTAAAATTCATTTTTTTATATTAAAAAATAAATTATATAAAATTGGTGTGTGCCCAGACCGTTTAAAGTGTTGCCAATTTTGTGGGAATTTTTCCACTCTTTTCTAAAAGCGTTCCAAAATTTGCAAACATAAATTGTCGTGTGACCAGGATACTTTAATGTGTTGCCAACGTAAAGGAAATGTTATCGACTATTATCGATAATTTTAAATATTTACTATTTTTTATTAAGTGGTGTACACACTATCATTTTTTAATGACAGTTAATGTCCGTCATTAATGAAGCCGAGTACACACTATAATTTTGGACTGCTATTTTATATCGATTACTGATTCTGCAATAATCATGATAATAAGGTGATGTATCAAAACAAAAACATCTTGTTTTATATTCGACCATCTGTCAATTTTTTTCTAGTAATATTTCTCATGGTTGGCAACACAGCTCGTCGAATTCAAGTAGAAGCTATACACTTTGACAGTTAATGGGATAGTCAGCTGCGCGCTAAGTGGAGTACCTATTTATTTTGCCCTATCAGTTTTGAATGACAGGTAATGCCGTTGATTCATTACAGTTCATGACCGTCATTCATAAAGGCAAGTACACATTATAATTTTGGACTGCAGCCATGATTTTTTGTCTGACTAATGCCGGATATAAACGACCGCACTGCCAGTCAAGTAGAATTTGGGCCAAATTGTTATTAAAAATTTATAGTGTATAGACCGCTTAAATAACTAAAGAGTAAATATTTACAAGATTGGAAATTATCGATAATAGTCGATAAGATTTTAGCCACGTTGGCAACATGATCCAATAAACAGGCCGTATCAGAAACAATCGTTATCGACAATTTTGAATTAAAATCCCCCAAGCTGTCAAATTTTTTGTTTACGTTTTCACACAATTAAGTCAAAATTGAAGGTATTTTGACAGCTCGGATGAAATCATCTGGCCTTATAGGACGATCATGACACAATGAATAGGTAGTCCATTTAGCGCAGCTGATGTCTTAATTAACTGTCAAAGTGGGTAATTTCTACTTCAATTCGATGTGCAGTGTTGCCAACCATTTGAAATATTATATGGAAAAATTTGACAGATAAAAACAAAGGTTTTTGTTTTGATACATCACCTTATTATTGCATCGTGAGAACGAAATTTGTGTAAAAAATATTCCTTGTTATTGGGCAGTTAGTAATCGATAAAAAATCTATCAGCCCACACTGATAGTGTGTACACCAATTCGTTTAATATTATTTTATCAAAAGTGCATTAGACTTTAGGACTTTTTCCGAGCTAACCTCCCTACGACGAATTATTTGACATTTATGCAATGACATTGACAATTTAAATCCCATGTAATGTAAATGTACTATAAAATGTATTTATTTTTGCTTTTAATATCTTTCTTTTTCAGATTACGCCGTTGCCATTTTCCATGAGGCATTACGGACTGGCAAATATAATTGCTACTTGAGACCTGATACTCGTTTACCCATGATGTATATTGAGGATTGTTTAAGGTATAAAACGACTTCATTTATCCTCCACTGATTTCACTAACCTCACATTTTCTGCTTTTCCTCCCTACAGATCCCTGCACGAATTTATGTGCGCCCCCTCCGAACAGCTGAAACATCGTGTCTACAATGTCACTGCCATGTCATTTACACCCGAAGAATTGGTGGAAAAACTTAGCAAATATGTACCGAATTTACATGTTACCTATCAACCGGATAGTCGGCAACTGATTGCCGATTCATGGCCACAGGTCTTTGATGATAGTGAGGCTCGCCGTGATTGGAATTGGCAACATAAATACGATTTGGATAATTTGGTCGATTTTATGGTCAAAGATGTACAAGAGAATTATATAAATGTTGAAAATGGTAACGGTAATGGTCAGGAGCAGAGAGCATCCGCTTCCATGTAGAATGAAACATTTTTTTCCTTAAACCGAATTCTTCAAATTTGCTATTTTTCATTCAATTAAAATTTAAGTATTGTTGGTTTTCTTTTTTTTTCTTTTCCTTAAAATTTTAAAATTTTAAGTATAGGGCAAGCCGCATTTCTATAAAAAAATTAACCAAAGAGCAAACCAAAAAATCTCAAAATGAGATCAAATATGCATTTAAGTGTTATATAAATATTTACTGTTTACAATTTTATTTATTATTATATATATCTATATATTTTTTGTCAGTACACAATATTATTTTGTAGACCATGCAATAAAATAAAAGAGAAAAAATTAATAAAAATATTAAAATGAGTACTTTTTTTATTACTTAAAAAGGAAGATGAGGTCCGATGTAAGCATATCATAAACTGTCATTTGAAAAATATAATAGTGTCATTTGTAAATTATTGGCCAAAGAATAATCGGAATATTCATTGAATTTTATTATTTATTTTTTAGACATACAATTTATACAGTATTCCATAAATATTATTTATTTTTTATTTATTTTATGTTTAATTATTATTATAAATTATAATAACACAATTTTTTATATAATCTCCATTTATTTTTATTTAATCTCCATTTACCACAAAATGCCGCCAAATTAGTAATAATTACTGAAAAACGTAACGTATACACAACGTTACTTATCCACTAATTGCTATCAAACAAGAAAGCATTGCAACGCTTTAGTATAGACACACACTCAATGATGTCGCTTGGCGGCTAGCGGCTGTATTCCTTAAACGTAATTTAAACAGTTCGTTTTAATACGAATTTAATAAATTAAATATATATTTAGAACTGTTAATAAATAAAATTTTATTTTAAACAATTTTTAATAATATTTAAAAAAAAACTCGGCTTATATTTGATCCTGCAAAAATATTATCATTAAAGTATTTTTAAAAAATCTACGCCTTATATTAGGTCTTTAAAAATATTTTTAATAATCCACGCTTTATATATGTCCTTAAAATTATAAAAAATTATCTTGTATAGATCCTAAGACATATTTGTTTAAGTAATCAACGTCTTATTGTTGGTGCTTAACAAATATTTTTAATTAAATCCACGTTTTAAAATAGTTTCAAGAAATCTAAGGCTTGTTTATGTTTTTAAAAATACTTTTACGCGCCTATAGAGCTCTAGTAATTCTCTGGAAAATATTCTTCATAAAATCAACGTCTATAAACCTCTAACAATCCTCTGAAAAAATTTTAAAATCCACGTCTAAAGCTCTAATAAACCTAAGGAAAATATTCTTTAAAAATCCCAGCCTATAGCTATAATAATTGTCTGGAAAATATTCATTAAATATTCTTCACAAATCCACGCCTATAGAGCTCTAATAATCCTCTGGAAAATATTCTTCACAAATCCACGCCTATAGAACTCTAATAATTCTCTGGAAAATATTCATTAAAATCCACACCTGTAGAGAGAAAAACATATCTACGACGATATCCTCAGAACTACTACAATAGGAAACTGATGTCTAAAATTTTCCATTCTACCCGGGGAAATATTAAATAGATAACATCACAAACAAAATATTCTAGACAAACAACAAGCCAAATAATAATAACGGTTAAAAGCTTTCCAAAATTCACATTTAAAATAAACATAGTATTTACTCACCACTTGTGGAACAGATATGTAACATCACAAACAAAATATTCTAGACAAACACCATGCCAAATAATAATAACGGTTAAAATGGTCAAATGCATATTTAAATAAGGTGATGCTTTCCAATTTCAAGTACAAAAACCTTTTTTTTTAAAATTTGGTGACTTTTTGTATCTCATAGAATTTTTATTATAAAAAAATCACCAAATTTAAAATAAAAGTGTCATTAAATGCACATCTGAAATTCAAGTAGAAATTGCCCACTTTGACAGTTAATAAACATAGTATTTACTCACCACTTGTTGAACAGCTGATAGTTGGTGGCAATGGACCACTCATTCATTGTGCCATGGTTGTGGCTAAACACCTTTTCTCTTTTTTCCCTTTTGTCAGTTATTGTTGATGATTATTTCTCAGTTACGTTCTCATACACTTACTCTCAATTTAGTTCTGTTCAACACTGCATTGGAAACAAACGCACTTCCATAACATATTTCAATGAAACAGGCAATTTTTTTCATTACAGTTAGATTCTAATTAGAATTATAATCACATATTAATAAAATGCAACATTTAGCCAATAGACTATTTCAAATTTTATTTATTTTCTTAATTTTTACATATTTTTCACTTTCACATTTCTCTCTGACTAGACGTCTAGTAGTAGAGATAACGATTCACTGAACATATCCGATAGACAACAATTAACTGAACATACCCGATAATATTCAAGAGAGAGAGAACTGTGTAATCAAATCCCACGAAATCGCGAAAAAACGAGCATGGCTTACGGCACACAGAACGAGACGAACTTACCAAAACATGGTCGCGCATATATGGCGATGTTCAACTACAGAAATGCACACAAGTAAATCACAACAATGATAGTGATATTTGGTGGATGACAGATTAATAAATACACTGAACAGCCTTAATCAGTAATTGGACTATAATTTGCAATTGAAATTGTCATTTCTTTTTATTTTTTCACTTGATAAATTAAATTAAATCTGCAATTAAGGATAAGAACCGATCACGAACAACGAAACACACGAACATCTGATCAACTGTGCGGCCACGGAAGAACTGATTAAAGGAGGCGGAAAGTTGTGTTGTCTCGAGAGAGAGACAGAGAGAATTGTGTCGTTTGCAGAGTAGGCCGTGCTTAAAAAAGAGATGACAAAAGATAAAGATAGATGTAGTCTGTTCAAGAAATGAAATTGGAAATAGGAATTAGCAGCAATTTTTACCAAATGTTAATGTACTGTACCTCCGGTAGCTCTCAAATTTTCGATATGTTAACGATTGTGACAAGTTTTGATTGGAATTAGCTCTTATTTGGTATATTGTGTTTTAGGAACAGAACCTCCTTAGGCATAGCTCCATATGAAGGTATCGTCAAAATTTCGGTATTTTGGGATTTTTTAGTTCGTTCTTCGACCGTTCTTGTTCTCTCTCTCTCTACACTACAAATAATCAATATCGGTGCATATTTGCATATAGCTCCAAAAATTTGGGTATTTTGGGGAGTTTGGGCAAGTTTTTCAACCCGAATGAATATAATTTGATATTTCGGATTCTAATTTGGTACCAAATCTCTCCACTACAAATTATCAATATTGGTCCATTTTTACGGGTAGTCCCCATATAAATTTACCCTACAATTTTCGCTATTTTGAGGAGTTTGAGCACGTTTTTCAACGAATTGGGTATAATTTGGTATTGCGGATTCTCATTTGGAAACAAATTTCTCCACTACAAATTATAAATATTGGTTCATTTTTTTCGGGTAGTCCCCATATGAATTTACTCCACAATTTTCGGTATTTAGGGGAGTTTGGGCACGTTTTCAGTACTCGCCTACGCCGATGACATCGATATAATGGGTCAAACATTGCGGGCCGTAACAGACACCTTTGAACAAATTGAGAAGGAGTCTGGTAGTAAACGACGCGAAGACTAAGCTGATGGTATCAACGTGCAAGACGTCCAGTAGACTCGGACCAACTGTGGAACTAGAGAACTACAGCTTCGATGTAGTTAAAGATTTTATATACCTTGGTACCGCCATAAATAAAACGAATGACATCAGTTTTGAAATTCGGAGAAGGATTGTGATGGCCCGAACAGATGCTACTATGGTCAACTCAAAAGCAAGGCCGTCTCCCGTCAGACCAAACTCACACTCTACAAGACGCTGATAATACCCGTGCTGTTATATGGATCTAAAGCATGGGTACTTACGCAAGCAGATGAGGCAGCTCTTGGAGTGTTTGAGAGAAAAATTCTCCGATGGGTAGAGCTATAGTCTAAATACACCTTAAGTCGAGATGAGTGGATTTATTTATTTTTTAATTTAATATATAGTCTAAACGCGGTTTAATTTCTATAAAGAAATATCTGAAATAATGAAGAATCAAACATATTCAAGATTTAACATATAAAATCATACAAAGGGCGACTTACTATAAAATACCATGAAATATCTTCTGTGTAAATACGGCCTTACCTTAATCATTTTATTTTTAATCATGCGAAATTAACGAAAATAAATAAATGAAGTTATTTTATTAAAACAATTGCGATATAAACACAAGTTGTTTCCTCTTTTTAATATACTGTACCCGTCCACTCATAAACTGTACCTTTTTTCCATTCCATTCCCATACCGTTTAGCAACACAAGAAAACATTGGAATTTATCGTTACTATCGATAACCAAAACAAACACACACAATGTTATCGTTTTCTTATTGCCACCACCAGCGCCGACGACGACAAGCAGCAGCATTATCTTCTGTTTTTTTTTTGTTTTCGTTGATAAAAGTAATGGAGAGGAAAAAAAGTATTTTTGTGTGTGTGAAAAACAGAAAATCGCAACTAGAATGACTCAAGCCGCAATCGGTGGGCATAATAATTAGTGTTAAGATTTACTTCGAACACGGAAAAGCATAAAAATCGAAGACGCTGTGTGCGCGACGAAACGAAAAAAAATAAATTTTGGACGTGTGTATCGTCACACACAGCCAAACACACACACGGTTCGTGCGAAAGCAAAAAGATAGAAAAAAAATTACAAAGCAAAAGAAAGGGAAACACAAGAAAAAAATAAAACAAAACGATACAAACAACGCAAAGTAAAGCAACGACCGACCGATCGAACCACGACTAGACGTGAAGTGAAGTGTAGAAGCAGAAGATGTCACATCTACCGACACCTTTGTATGGATTCGCAATATTCTTCCTAATATTCTGGTGCGGAACGTGGTGTGTGCATCTGATTGCGATATGCTATGGCAAATTCAAGCTGCACAAGAAGTCGTGTAAATGCCCCAATGAGACACCGTTGCCGGGTGTGTCCATACTCAAACCGCTGATGGGTGTCGACCCGAATTTGGAGCACAATCTAGAGACGTTTTTCACAATGGATTATCCGGTGTATGAGCTGTTATTTTGTGTGGAGGATAAGTGCGATCCGGCGGTGAAGTTGGTGGAGGGACTGATTGCCAAATATCCCCAGGTGGATGCCCGTTTGTTTTTGGGCGGCAGCAATGTGGGTGTGAATCCAAAAATCAACAACATGAATCCGGCCTATGAGGCGGCAAAATATGAGTTCGTAATGATCTCGGATAGTGGTATCAAAATGCGCAATGACACACTGTTGGATATGGTACATCATATGGGTGAGAAATATGCCCTGGTCCATCAGATGCCATTCACCTGTGATCGTGAGGGCTTTGCGGCAACCTTTGAAAAAGTGTTCTTTGGCACTGTGCAATCGCGGATATATCTGTCGGCGGATTTTTTGGGTATCAATTGCCACACGGGTATGTCGTGTCTGCTGCGGAAGTCGGTGATCGATAGCCTGGGTGGGCTGAAAACGTTTGGCTGCTATTTGGCGGAGGATTTTTTCATTGCCAAGGCCATCACAGAGCAGGGATGGAAAATGCGTATCAGCAATCAACCGGCCCTGCAGAACTGTGGCACTTGTGATATTAGCACATTTCAGCAAAGACTTATACGCTGGGCCAAGTTGCGTGTGGCCATGGTGCCGACTACAATACTCCTTGAACCGCTGTCGGAGTGTATGGTATTGGGTGCGCTGGCCGCCTGGTCAGCCACAATTGTCTTCAAATGGGATCCATTGGTGTTCTATTTGGTGCATATCCTCACCTGGTTTCTGTCCGATTGGCTGCTGCTGACCATTGTCCAGAATGGTTCGTTGACCTTTCACAAATTTGAATTTGTTATTGGTTGGCTGTTTAGGGAGCTAAGTGGGCCGTATTTGTTTCTGCATGCCCTGTGGAATCCAGCGATTAGATGGCGTACACGTACCTATAAGCTGAGATGGGGTGGTATAGCCTATGAACTGCCGGATAATTGCTGTTGTAGTAATAGCAGTTGTAAAAGCTGCAGCAGCAGCGACACGACGATGTTCCAAACGACATCGACAGCAGCAGCCGCAGCAACAAATCTCAGTAGTAAACGACTATTGATTACATCGTAGCATAAGATTATCATGTATTATTGTTTAGTAGCAGTAGGAGCAGCGGCATCATCATCGTCAGCATCGTCACCATCATTAACAGCAATCTAAAGAAACGTACCGACATACATACACATACCTCAGGTATATAGGAAAAAAACCTAGTAACAACCAGACCATAGACAAGAAGCAGAGGAGGGGTATGTAATAACAATTAAAAATAGAGAATAGTAGAAAAATTCTACAAAAACAACAGAAAACTATAACAATAACAAAATTATTCATCATCTAAATTTTTCATCAGCTTCATCATCATCATGATCATTAGGCGAACCAACCAGCAACAACAACAACTTTGACGAATTAGCATTTTTTCTTGTCATCATCAGCAGCATCTTGCATCAAATATCACGCCCATACACATTGTATTTGTTATTGTATTTTATTTCTATTTTTTTAATTTTTTTGTTTCTTTATTGTTTTTTTGTATTATTGTAAATTAATTTCTTAGTACGAATTGTTGTTGTTTATTATTATTTTTATTTTAACACATTCACTCACACACACGATTCCCTACCCTTTGTTTTCCGTGTTCTTAGTATATACATTTATATATATGTAGAAATAATTAATTTATTTTATTATTTTTTTCTATCTCTTATATGTATACATATTTTCTATCTATTTTAAATTAAAATTTCTTTTCTAAATTAGTAATAATATAAATATTATTAATAATTAATTAATATATATGTTATTTTATAAGCTCTATATAAATATAGTTGATAAGTAGTTAAGTAAAACGAAACGATGAAAAAAAAAACAAGAAAAACGAATTAATAAAAAATTATACCTACCAATATTGAAAGAAAAGAAAAAACCCGCATAAGTTCTATTAATTCGAAATTATCAACAAAGAAAAAAAAAATAGATAAACAATACACCCCATTATGAATGGGATTTTTTTTGTAATGGAATGCGATTCATTCAAATTATGTTTTGAGGTTCCAAAAAACAATTCCATACAAAATAAATTATTGGGGAAAAAATAAATATTAGAAAAAAAAAATCATTAAAGAAATGTACAGAGTTTTGATTTATACTAGGCCTTCTTTTTAATGGTATCGCCTTAAGCTCCCTTCGCAGAACAACATTTAAATTTTTACCACAACAAATATGACGATAATACCCCTTTAAAATATGCGAGCTACAAGTTTAGAAAAATACTTCCTTTTTATTTAAGTTTTTTAATTGCATATAAAAATCTCTTGCATATTTCCAATTGATTTTATATCCCTAAAATATCTTAGAATTAGAATAAGGTGGTAATTTTTTAAAAAGATTGGATTTCTAAAAATATTTCTATACACCACCTAAACAGCCATAAGGAAAAAGGCCATAAACTCATAGTAAAAGACCCATAGTCATAAACCCCCAAAAAGGCCATAAGACGTGGATTTTTTAAATAACTTCTATAGACCCCCTAAAAGTCTATATGGTGTGTTCCATGCCCTAAGGCATGGGTGTTTTTAGGAATTTTTATAGACCCCTAAAAGGCCATAAGTTGTGGATTTTTCGTAGAATTTTTTGTACACCCCCTAAAAGCCAAAAGTCGTGGATTTCTTAAAAAAATGTATAGATCCTTAAAAGGCCATAAGGCGTGGATTTTTTTAAAGAATTTTTACGCAATCCTAAAATGCCATTAGGATTTTTTTAAAGATTTTTTATAGACCCGAAAAAGGTCATAAGGCGCGGATTTTTTAAATAATTTTTATAGGCGTTTTTTAAAATAAAGATGTTCTTTTAAATAATTTTTATAGACCCCTAAAAGGCCATAAGTCGTGTATTTATTAAAATAATTCTTATAGATTTCTAAAAGGCCATAAGGCGTGGATTTTTTTAAAGAATTTTTATAGAACCCCTTAAAGGCCATAAGGCGTGGATCTTTTAAATAATTTTTATAGATCCCTAAAAGGCCATAAGGGGTGGTTTTTTATAATGATTTCTAAAGACCCCTGAAAGGATATTAATCGTGGATTTTGTAAAAGAATTTTAGGGCCCCCAAGAATGCCGTAAGGCCTGGATTTTCGGTAAAGAATTTCTAAAGCCCCCTAAAAGGCCGTGGATTTTTGTTAATTTCTAAAGACCCCATTTAAAAGCCATAAGGCTTTTTCCATGTTTTTCACACTTATTTCAGAAACTGCTACTGACTCGGACAAAAAATATATGACAAAAAGATTTGGATTTTTGTTAAATAATTTCTATTATGCCCAAAACGGGCATAATGCGTGAGTCTTTTTTTTAATGTCTAAAGAACCCTAAAAACCCGTAAGACCAGGAAAAGCCATAAGGGGTGTTTTTTTTTTATAATGATTTCTAAAGACCCCTGAAAGGCCATTAATCAATAAAACAATTTTGTAGGCCCCTAAAAAGCATTTAATCGTGGATTTTGTAAAACAATTTTGTAGACCCCTAAAAAGCATTAAATCGTGGATTTTGCAAATAAAATTTAGGGCCCCAAAAAATGCCGTAAGGCCTGGAACCCTAAAAAGCCGTAAGACCAGGATTTTTTTAAGAATATCTAAAGACCACCTAAAAGGCCGTAAGACCTAGTCCTATATGAGTTCTGTGGTACCTCCCCCACAATATTTTCAACATTTACAAATCCAATACCACAGAGGTTCATCATTTTCAATATTTATAAATCCAATATCAGGCTAATGGAATGTCCGAAATGAACTAAATTTTGTACAACCTCTTATCTTAACCAAGCCTTGATCAAGTAGAAAGATGGGATAAGATGTAAAATTAAAAAAAAAAAAAAAATTTCCAAGGTCTGTATGACGTGGGGATTATTTAAATATTTTCTTTTTAAATATCTGTATGAGTTGCAGATTTTTGAAATAATTTTTTTCCTAGCCCTATATAATTATTATTTGGGAATTTTTAAATAATTTTTTTCAAGACCTATATTAGTTGGGGATTTTTAAATAATTTATTCCTGGTGATTTCCTATTCCTACCCAGGCCTATATAAACAGTATATGAAATTGCCTAGTATAAATCTGGACTTGGTATATTATTGAAAAAAAGGGCGATGGATGAGAAATGTATTATTCAATTGTAAGCCCTTTTCTTGAATGAATATTACTATGAATGAATACCGAAATAAATCAAATATAAAAAATATATTCAAACCCACAAAAAACCCAAATGTTTCCACGACCATTTCCAACTACATGTAAACCATAATAAAAAATAAACACACAAATAATAAAAAACAATTAGTATTGGAATTTAGGAAATAAATGAAGATCTAAAAACTTGAATTAATTTTTTGTTATTTGAAATAGTTTTCTTTTTAATAAAAATGGAAGAAAAAATAAATTGTCATATTGTATTTGTTTCTAGACTGTAGAACCATTGTTGAACTATTTTGTAGATATATTTTCATAAAAAAAACAAATAATTTTAATAACAATTATTATAGTTATAATAATTATTTTGTCTAGTAATAATAAATTATAACTTAATTTATTTTTTTTTAGCTCAGATATTCCAAAAACTAAGAAAAAAAATGAAATGATTTTTTAATGCTTTAGTTTAAGTACATACAATAATAACAAAAAAAAATAAAAGATCATAGTGACATGATTCGTTTTGCTACTAGAATTACCCCGCAGACAAAAAAAAAATGATTCCAAATGACTAATATATACAAAAATAAATAATAATAAAAAAATACAAATAATAATAATAAAAATGAAATTATAAAATAAAGTGAAATTATAAAATAATAAATAAATCGAAAATCAAAAATAATAATAGTAATGGAATTATAAAATAATGAAATTAAATTTTGAAATACTCATTATGTAAAAAATCAATACAAAGAGAAAAATACACTGTGGAGAATATGTTGGCAAAAAAATACAACAAACTTAAAACAACAAACGTGTTTGTTTTATTTATTTATACATTTTTTAATTTTTTCAATAACAACAAAAAATAAATAAAGAATAAAACAAAAAATCAAAATACAGACAAACAAACAGCAACCGTCTTAAAGGTCATTAATCGTCCACTCAAATCGTACGAGTAAATTCTATACAGGCCATGAATACAAAACAGGTTGCATGAAGGGGGCGGGGAGAGAAATTTTGTGTGTGTTTTTTTTTTTTTTTTTGACACTCAAAATTATAATTTTCCATATAAAATATATACTAAAAGGAAGTACATGCAAACTTCCAAAATTCAAATTTTGCAAACAAGTTTCACTTAGATCACTTTAGCCTAAAATTCTATTTTTGTCTAGCAAAAAAGTCAAACCGAAAAACATACCATCATGTGCACCAGCACAAGTGTCCAAGTGTGTTGCGTGAGCATTCAACACCATAAAATTTCCAAAAGAAACAATAACAAAGAGGGTATATTAAGTAAATTGGCTTAAAACTTTTAGATAAAGTCACCAAACTAACCCATACTCACTCTTCTCTTCCGACTCTCTTTTTAAATTTGTGTTTTTTTGTATGTTTATTAGGGTGTCATATAATAAAATATACAATAATTTGGGTTTTTTTTTTAAATAATTTTTTCCTAGGCCTATATAAGGGGAGATTTTTTTTGAAATAATTTTTTCCTAGGTCAATATAAGGCTTGGATTTTTAAAATAATTTTTCCTGGGGTAATATAAGTCCTGGGTTTTTTTTTGATTTGTTAAATAAATTTTTTCAAGGCTTTTATGAATATTAAAAATTAATAATAAAAATAATTAAAATAAAAAATATAAAATATCGTATTTTATTTACTTGTTTAAATTTCAAAAGATGGAAAAGTAATGGTAGGTTTATATGCAGCTTAAAAGATTTCATTGAAATGTATTAATAAAACAAATCCTATAATTATGAATGAATTATTGTGAATGGTCTTTATATCTAACAGCTGGGATCAAAAGGATGAACTCAGCTGAAGCTATGACACATTTAGCGCAGCTGACTATCCAATCAATTGTCAAAGTTCATT